TGGTCGTGATGGCGCGGAGGGTTTGGACCTCGGATCGTAACGTTTTGTTTTCAGTACGCAGTTTGTTTAGTTCTGCGGTGTTAAGATCAACAATACCTCCACGAACAGTGCTAGGTCTTCCAATCGACTGTCGTTGAGCCATGACAAGCTTCTCAAGCTGGTCAAGTCGCTTGGAGCGTGCATCTAGGCTATGCTCAAGAGTCTGGTAGTCGCGGACGAGGTTGTTCTCTATATTGCGAATTCTTTGCTTGAAAGCACCAATGACACTCTCCACAGTCCTGACCGCAAGAATGATGTTCTTGTTGAAGCCTTGAACGTTCCTAGAAATGAGCTCCATCGAAGTAAGTTCTCCGTTGATGAGAGCGTTGTTGCGGGACCACTCTGCACCACAAAGGGTGGATAGTCGGTTCCACAGGGCGTATAGCAGATTGTTTCGCTCGAGCAGCTGCTCTTTGTATTGTTTCTCTAGACTGTGGAGTTTCTGGCGATCCTGGCTACGAAGAGTCTCCAGTTCCAGGACTCTTAATTCGTGTTGCTGAATCGCCCTGGCAGTGGATTGGTGACCGCGTTTGGCGTTCTCGAATGTGGTTTGGTCTTGTCGGCGGGCTTGGCGTTCACGTTCGAGCATCTCTGAAAGACGGCGGCTTTCCAAACCGGCGCTCTCCAGGAGGGTGTCGCGGGCACGCAACAAACGGTCCTTTTCTGCAAGATCGGCTTTGACAACTTCGAGCTCTTGCATAGTCGCTTGGAGGTCTCGTTGGAGCTTTGCAATGTCCTGGAAATTTAGGGTTAGTGTATGTCCAGCCGCTATAGTCAGTTTCGCTTACCTTGAAGAGGCTTGACCTCGTACCGTTGAGGTTTCCCAGAGACTCACGAAGAGTGTGCTCCAGTTCGTCATGGCGCTGCTTCCAGGTGGATGCCTCAACTTCTTTGCTTGACAGGTTCTTTCGTAGCTTCCTGCTGTCCTCCTTGAGCTTTGTCAATTGACCGTTCAGGTCGGTGATGATCTTCTCCACCTCTTGCTTCTCTTGAGTCTCCAAAACATCGCGTTGCTGCCTTTCCTCAGCCATGCGCTCCTCGAGATCTCGGGAACGTTCTCTCGCCTCCTGCAACGTGACTTGAGTGTGGTTCAGGGCTGACTCTAACTCGCCAATCTTGATCTTGTCGCCTTCTTGCTCTTCTCTCAGGAAGTCAATCTCACCCTGACATGACTCAAGCTGAACGTCCAATCGCTCATTCTTCGACCTCTCCTCACTAAGAAGCTTGTCTTGCCTGTTCAACTCTTCATTTGCGTCTCCGAGCTCAGCTTCAAGGTTCTGAATCTTGCGTAGGCTTGCGTCCCGGTCGTCCTCGAGCTGTAAAAGGCTCTCGCTGACATTCTTCATTTCCTGCTGTAGGGCGTGGAAGTCTTCAGTGGTGTTTTCGAGATCATTGTAAAGACGATCACGTTCCGCTTGCTTCTGTTCAAGATCAATCTCTAGCCTTTGAACTGTATCCAGCGCTTCCTGCCTTAGCTCCTCACATTCCTGCTCTTTGTCTTGTAGCAGCTCGAGTGCCTCGTCGCGCTCACTTGCTAGTGCTTGAAGATCTTCTGTCTGTGCTTCGATCTCCCTCTCTAGCTCCTTGACCTTGTTCTCAGTAGTCTCAAGCATGTCGAGATGACCGTTAAGCTGGTCGTCAAGCTCTTTGTAGGAAAGCTTGAGCTGAGATAGCTCATCTCGAAGAGCAGCATGTTTGCTTTCGAAGTCTTCTCGATCAGGATCGCTTTGCTGGGTCAAACGCGTCCCGCCGCTTGCTCTTGAAACAGACCTCATGTGGTTGCGGGAGATGGAGCGCTCCAGAATACTATCGCCGGCCGTCGATCCTGCATCTCCTCTTCGAATTGTGAGTTTCAAGCCTTCGTTCTCTTCCCTAAGACGGAGATTTTCTCGATTCCTTGATGTGAGCATAGAGGCTTGTGCGTGAAGGTCTCGTTGCAATTTCTCATTGTCGCTCTGTAGGTGTTCCACCAAGGTGCTGCTTGTGCCGCCAAGAGAGATTGGCGCAGTATTCTCGTTGCCATCAGAGCCAGAGTTTGAACGAGCAGCAAAAGATTGCTGGATGCGCCGTGAGTTGTTCAAGGTTTTGTTGAAGTGATGGTTCGTCGTCGAGTGTTGCATCTGTTGGTTCTGCTCTTTCAAGCGTTCGACCTCTTCTCGAAGTCTTTCGCTTTCAGTCTCTGCTTGCTGACAGCGACTCTCGACTTGCTCACGCCTTGCGCGTTCCTCCTCGAAATCCTCTTTCCACATGTTGATGGCCTCGTCAAAACCAGCGGAGTCTTCACCAGAGCTCTTCTCTCGCATTGTCTTGATGTAATCAGCCATGCGTCGGTTGTCTGCTTCTTTCTGAAGTGCCTCCTGCTGCCACTGGTCCACAGTGATCTCTGTAGATTCTAGGCGCTCTCGTAGAAACTCGATTTCCTCCTCTAGCTCAGCTTGCCTAGACGACTGAACACTTCTCCCGTCCTCCGAGCCGCTGCCAAGGTCCCTGGAACTAGCGTTACCTTCCTCCTGAGCCTTGAGTCTTCGCTCTAGATCACGAATCTTCTTGCGCATTGACTGACTTTCCTTCTTCTCTGTCGCAAGATCGGTTTGCAGTTGGACGTTCTTTGAGATCATCTCCTTGACTCCCTCGTCAGATCGATTCTGAAGCGCTTGGTCGAGGAAATGAATCTTGAGTTTGAGATCAAAGTTTTCTTTGCTGAGCTTATCAATCTTGCTATTCTGCTCCTTCAGTGTAAGGTTGTGTTTGCTCCGAGTGAAGGGAGTGGCCATGTGCCGTTTGTCTGGCGACCGCGAGTGCTTAGCCCGGAAATCGCGTGCAATAGAATCCGGTACCTGTATGTCTTGAACATGCCTGGCGATAACGGTGTCTGTGGGGGCAGCAGGCTGCACGCTGGGAGCGCGAGGTGTCTCGGGTGGAGTTGCGCTATTAGGGACTTCCTCATCTAAACGACCCAGACTATTATCCGGCTGGAGGAAAGCAGAGAGAGAGTTAGTACTGATACTCCGGCCCTTCTCCCAGGGGTTGGTATCGCTGTATCCCGACATTGACGAGGCTATGCTACCTAAGCTCGGCAATCTTGATAGCCCAAGGCTCATCCCTCGTGGTCCACTTGAGCGAGGGATTGCGCCACCAGTTTGCAAGGCATAGTCTGCACCAAGACTCGCTGTGCTTCCGCCATCTCCAGACGCATCAGACCGGTTAGTGAATGAAGACACGGATGATCGTTGGCTCGAATGGCGATGCTGCAGGTAGCTCGGTCGCTTACTGATCTTTTGCGCGGTCGCAGGAACTGGTGGTGGAGGCATAGCTATGCTATCTACGCTGGATTCGTTCTCGTTCGTAAGGGAGGAGCCCTCTTCAACTAGAGAGAAGTCGGGAGCTTTTACTGTCGAGGCACTGGATGTGGGCCGTCGCACGTCCACTTCTTTCTGCTGGGCGCCTGGAGCAGCCTGTTCCTCTCGACGCGAGCTGTCCTCTTCCTCCCCCTCCGATTGTTCCGTAGTCTGGCTTGCTGAAGCGCGCGATTGACTTCGTTGCGCGGCTTCCGCGGCGGGCGAGGAAGGACCAACCTCTGATGTTGCGGTGCTCGTATCCATCGAGTCGTCGGCCCCAAAGTCCAAGCGTCTCGCGGCAGGTGTCTTGTAGGCATCCGCGGGCGTGGGAGCCTCAGAAAAGGATGAAGAGTTGCTATGAAGAGTATTCCTGGATTGCGACTTGGTCGGTGTGTTTCCACTGCGTACTTCAAGCTTCTTGGGCTTCTTCTTTGGCTTTAGCAATTCTTCTAGGTTGTTCATTACTCGCTGCATATCTGCGTCGTCACGCAGAGGCCGAGCTGATTGTTGAGAATTTCCTGGTGAGCCCCCGAATAAGTAGGTATCGTCAACGCCGGACTGTCCTTGAGGTGCTTCGACCTGGATAGGCGCCTCTGGGATAAAGCTCGATTCGATGTCCATCAATTGGCGCTTCATCTCGCGATCCTCAAAGACACTCTCGTCATTATGCGCGTCTTCCTCCTCGATAACATGATGTATGATGCTGTCGTCTTCCTCGGTTGGTAAGGGCGGCAGGTCAGCGTCGGGCTGGTCAAAAGCCCTGACATCGTCGGCCTCTGAGATATCGTGCGCCATGTAGTTTTCGTGTGTGGGTGCCAGCGTGGGGGTGGAGGGTGTGGAGTCGAGTTCGTCTGTTTGCGAGGCCTCAGCACTCGAAGCAGGAGCGGTGTCTGTCGCCATGGGGGCCGGTGCGCGCACAATGAGGGGGGAAGTCGCGTGGTATGGAGTATTTTCGAGGCCTGCTCACCAGCATAGTGCAACTGCCGAGGCTGCGGTGGAGTGAAAGTTGACGACAAGTGCGGTGATTCCCTGCACTCGCCTGTGAGTGACAACAGAGCGCGCGTTGTTTGCGCTAGTATGAATCCGGCATGTTGCCCTACCATTCTGCCGGTCCGTTCCTAGACCAACCGGATCGGCTGCCGGACTATGTGGGCATGCCGTACCCAGATGTGTGTTTGATGTGATACTAGGTACCTTCGTGTTTATACTGCGCGGTTTCCTCATTTGTCTGTAGTGTCTACGTTGATGATTAAGTGCTTCCATGTGCGCAGTTGATCGTAAACACACAGACCATCTACATAGTCCAAACTGCGAATACAGAGGGAAAGGTGATAAATGTACATCTTGATTGTGGCATGGCCTGATGCTACTGGATGGTCTTAGCAAGTACTATGCCTCCATAAACCAATGCTCGTATTAACTCCTGCTAAACGCTTATGGCCTTTTAACGTGTCGGCGTTGTTGCTGATAACGTTCCGATACATGTGTACGTATGTGATGTGAAGTATCTGAACCGGTCCAGCGGAGCAGCACAGATATTGGTCTCTGGCCGCATGCGCTTTCTGGTATGAAGATTCTGTGTGCGTAGATGTCATGCTAGTTCAAGTAGTCATGCAGCATTTCTCAAGCCATTGCCGCTTCCTTCGCCCGCTTTTTATCCTTCTTTGCTTTCTTTTCCTCTTTTCTCTTGGTCTCCTCTGGATCCCGGTGCTTCTTGGTCTTCTTTGATGGCACTTCAGGCGTATCGACACCATTGACATCAGCATGTTTCCTCTTTGGCTTCTTCGAGGGTAGATTGAGTCCATTCGGCATCCCAAGTCCCGCAGTCTCCCGTGGCGCTTCAGTCTCGTCATCTGAATCACCAATAATCCCGGCGTCATTGCCACTAAAGCCAGTGGGAAGGAAGCGCATCTTCAGTCCTGTAACCTGTGGTCGTGGTGCACGGATAGTCGATCGCGTTATCGAAGCGGCCGCTTCTGAACCCGTGTTCTGGTCTGCTTGTTTTGTGCTGAGGTGAGGAAGTCGCACGACCGATCGCAAGCGCAACGTCTGTGATATCCGCGTAGAGACTAGGCAGGTCAGTACAGTCAGTATAAGCAGTATTTGGTGAACGTACCAGGCTCCATGCCGTTCTTGTGAGGCAATAAAACCTCCCGAGTGCCATCTTCGCTCTTTTCTGTCTGAGAAAATCCATAGTCGGTGCCCTTGTGACTTAATATAGCCTCTCCTTTCATAGCTTTGTCCATGGCAACCTCGCTCAGGTCCTTCAAGGAGACACCTGCTGGAGCAGTAATGTGCCATACCTGCTTCCCTTCTAGGTTATCAAACAGTCCTGTCGACTTGGAAATGGTCTTGTCATTCAATGCCACTGGATTGAATCCTTTCGGGGGTACGTAGGCCTGCGTCGGTCGAAAGTCGACTGCATGTGATTGTGATTGCACTGGAAGTGATGGACGTGTTTGAGCTGGTTTGCGTGTTGGTTGCGGCGCGTTGTCAGTGTCTGAGTCGTCACTGGAGGTGTCTGAGCTGCTTGTGCTGTCGCTGTCGCTCGAAGCATCCTTGCCCTTCTCGTTACCCGGAAGCTTCGTCCGTATATCCCTGGTCGGCGCGTCGTCGTCGCTTATCTCTGAGCTCGACAAATCTGCGACGTCCTCTTCTGTTGCGATATGCTTGGATGCTGGTTTCTTGGGTGAAACCTTGGACTTGGATGTGGATTTGGAGGCAGGCGCGTCTTTCTTGCTAGGTTTGGACTTGGTTTTAGGAACGCCATTCACATGGATACCGATGGTGGCTTTCGGCTTCTCGACCTTCTTGGGCTGCGCGGTGCTCTCATTGGGAGAATCATTGTCACTGTCGACAAATTCTTGGCTTAATTGCGCTTTCGATGGGGTGTTCTGAGGTTTTGACTTCTGCTTGGAGCCCGGCAGCGGCACCTTGGTTTTGTGTGTGTCCTTCATGGTGTGTGTGGAGCCATGCTCTTTGCGACCAGAAAGTCGAAGTTCGTAACTTTTTTGCGCCGCGGTCTGGCGCGCTCGGGCGGAGAAGAGCCGCATCGCCACTAGTCCTAATCAAAAGCTAGCGCGCCAAAAATCACTGGCTTGGTCGATGAGATACTGGACAGATGCAGAACACCAGCATCAACATCCAAAGTCAGTATGTCAGGAAAACGGAAGAGAGGAGAAGACGCGACTGCAGCTAGAGTCGTCAGCGAAAAGCCGCTCACTGCGATTGCGGCAGCTCGACTGCGAACGGAAGCCGCAGCTAAAGTCGTGAATACACCCAAAGTCACGCTTGAGCAGATTCCTGTACCAGCAAGTCCATTGCTCAAAGATGGAAACCCGGAACAGGAGGACTCAGATGAAGAGGAACAACCCGTGCCTGTTCAGCGCAATCTCAAACTTTGCAACTGGCGCAACGAACCACAAAACATCCTCTCAGACACCGACACTGAACTCACCGTCAATCTGAACAAGCACGCGACTATCACGTTGATCGGCTGTTTTGACTTGTTGGTTCTGAGAGGTGCCGTCAACATCAATGGTGCCAATATTGGGACAGTCAATCGTGATGGCCAAAAAAACCAAGCTCATCGAGTGTGTGTACCAGCCACGCACCCTATGTCCAAAATCCGCGGACTAGATGGTACAAATCACATAAGTTTCAAGACTTGCAAGACACCTGCATCTTTGGCGCATATTAGTCCAGTGTTTGACGGAATCTGGGATGACTCCAATGATCGATCGTTCCGTGTTGTAAGTGCATCGCTTCTCGTTTACAGCTCACCTTGGCCATTACCGTGTTCTATGAGAACACGATGACTCGTTGAGACTATACAAGAAAACTGACTTTTCTGCTAGGTGACCAACTCAGATGCAGATACGCTTTCCCGACCCTTACGTCCTGAAGTGACACCTGAAGACTGGCTTCGCGCAATTGAGGACTGCGCTAGCAATCCTTCTACCACCGTTGTGACTGGGTTACCTAGCTCGGGCAAATCGACTTTTGCCAGGCGGCTCGTGAATCGCTCTCTCACAGGACTAGGCAAGACCGCTGCATCTGTGCCAGCTGTATGTTGGATGGATCTTGACCCGCAAAAACAAGAGTACGTCCCTGGAGGTCAAGTCTCTCTCGTTGTGGTGAGAGATTTGAATTTGGGTCCGAGTTACACACACCCCTCTGTTGTACCAGAACAGAGAGAAGCGAGCAGGAACGAGGTCGTTCGCGCACATCCAGTCCCTACGAATTTTGCCAATTATGCGGACTATTACCAATCCTGTTTTGAGGATCTTTTCTTGGCATACAGGAATCTTTCTTCTCGAGATTCGTCTCTACCATTAGTTGTCGACATACCCAGCTTTCTCTACTCCTCACATTTCGACTTACTAAACAAGCTGATAGTGAGGATCAAACCGCATAATGTCATACACCTCAGCGATACACGAGCCATCGACACTGAAACAGCGGCAAGGTTGCACTTACTTCAAACATCAACATCGCAATACCACGGCACACTCTATGAGATTACTGCGCAACAGCCCCAGTCGATCCCTATAAGGTCGGACAATGAATTAAGCGCTATGCAGATGCAATCCTACTTCCATCTCAGATCAAGCAGTACGAGCCAGGGCCAGCCCCAACTTCTCAATTGGACGCCAGATCCTCTTTCACAGCTGGTACCCTGGGAGTTTTGCTACGAAGAAACCCTAGAGCGAGAACAGGATGTAGTTGCTTTCGCAATGTACTCTGAGCCAGTCGAGCCATCCTCATTGCTGCATGCATTGAATGGCTCCATCGTGCAAATCATTCAATCCACATCATCTGCCGTTCCTACTTCTAACGGCTCGCTTCCCAAGACACAAAAATTTGGGATTCCATATCTTCCAGAGTCTGAACGTACTGGCATGGTAGAACCACTAGATCCTCGAACGACGAGAATGGTTTGTACAGCGATGATCAGGGGCTTCAACCCTAAGAAGAAGATAGTAGAAGTGTTGGTACCAAAGACTCATGAGCCTCTGTTGTACAATCTGTCGCCCGAGAGGACCATCATTGTCGGTGGATGCTGCGACGTGCCGGAATGGGCATTCTTGGAGGACGCATACGCACAGGAAAGAGGGGTCAAACCAGCAACTACTGTCGATAATATGCCCGTTTGGGTTGAAAAGGCGGACCTCGTAGATGACATGGGATATCTTAGCACTGTACGCAGAGTGAGGAAGTTTCAGACCTGATAAAGTACCTAGGGAAGATTTTATTCCTACTTCTTGATGAGAAACAAATATGATAAGTACCACAATGTCATCCTCAGATCCAAGACTACCTGCACTGGAATTGCTGCTTTAGGTGGTGCTGTTGTATCAACGGATGCGTATTTGACTTTTGCGACATTGACGAGGCTAACGGACAGACGTTGGCAAACACCGATAATGACCTGGACTTGAAAAGGTGGGTGATAGTCACAAAGGAGAAGAAAGTACAGAACAGGGATAGAGACGTCAAGGTCTTTGAGGTCGGTAGTCTCGTTGAAGGAAAGAAACGTAAGTTTTGGCTTTCTTGTTGTTGCGATTTACTGCTTAGTCGCACTACCGTTGTGATATTTACAAGTGGACACAGCCCTGTTCTCCTATCCCCGATTACAAGATCATCTTCGGTGGAGCTGGGGGTCGTCAGCAGATGGAGTGAAAATGATGGATGATGAACTCACGATCGATGATTGGGCACGGCAGGTTGCGCTCGTACTTTGATCCTACAACACCCGTCAGTACAGTCATATCCGCGGCCGATGCGGAAATGTATCCGGGCATGAGCAACGAACCTCCAGGAGCCGTAGGTGGGCGGTAAGGGTCTGGGTGCTTCCACTTCTCGAGCAGGTTCTCCGTCTCCTTGATCAGTTCCTATGCGACTCGTCAGCAGAGTCCCCTATGTAGCCACGATGTGTGTCGAGTTGTAAATTGGATGGCGGTGGTGCAACAGGGAGACGCACCCTCATCTGTCGCGGCTCAGTGACATTTCGCTTGGCCTCGAACAGTTCGCGGATGTACAGGGCCTGTCCGCGCCAGAGGTACCGGTGGACGCTCCAGTCGAGGGCGAGCTTGAGGGACCGCCTGTAGAGGCGTCTGCGGCTGCGTCAGTTTCTGCGCGTAAAAGGCGAGGCGGGCGGGGATTTGGCGTACAGGACGTGTATCTTGGAGCTCATGACGGCGATGGCCCTTCCAGTGCAGGATGTGGCGGAAGGGAGAAACGTGGTTCGTGGCCGCAATGCCTCGCTGTTGTCGCAGATGGCTTGGTGAGGGCAGCGTGAGGTCGCGGGCTTGGCACTTGTGCCTGTGACGGAGGGTGGCTTCCGAGACGTCAGAACCGGTGCCCTGTGCCTGCACCTGCTTCAGTACCGTACAATTGCCTCAGGAGGACTCATATTCAAAACTTCGCTCGCTCGAAGCCGCCCATCGCTCTCGCACGCATTCCTATTTCCTTTTTCCCACTCTTCGCTTGGCTGCCCATCATGTCCGGCCAGCAGTGTCTACGCCGTCTACCGGCGGCCATGCGCTCTGTGCGAGCTTTGCGCGCAAGCCCACGAGCCATTCCTGCCGCGCGCAGCTATTCCGCCATCTCCAAAGCGAACTCGTCTGGTCTCCTCGGTCAAGCCTCAAGGTAATATCAAACACTCTGTGCATCAATATGCCCACCACTGACTGTTTACAGGCGGCCTGGCCAGCTGTCGTCACAACGCCTATGGTCCCTCGACCAGACAAGAAGCTATGCCGACACCATCGTCAAGGTGCCTGAGATGGCCGAGTCGATCACAGAGGGAACCCTGAAGCAGTGGTCAAAACGTGCGTCTGCCTTATTCAAATGGACACATCACCAGCTCACAATATGCAGAGGTCGGCGACTACGTTGAGCAGGATGAAGAGATCGCTACCATTGAGACCGACAAGATCGACGTTGCTGTCAACGCGCCCGAGGCTGGTACCATCAAGGAGTTCCTCGTCAACGAGGAGGACACCGTCACCGTTGGACAGGAAATCGTAAAGCTTGAGGCTGGTGGTGCCCCAGAGGGCGGAAAGAAGGAGGCCAGCGAGCAGCCAAAGGAACCCGCATCTAAGGACCAGGAGACTTCGTCGCAACCCGAAGGCCAGCAAGAGCAGTCTCAGCCAAAGGAGGAGCAATCTGAAGCGCCAAAGGAGGAGTCAAAACCTGAGCCTCCCAAGCAGGAATCCAAGCCCCAACCGCCCAAGCAAGAATCCAAGCCTGCACCACCCAAGAAGGACTCCAAGGCAGAGGAGACTAAGCCGGCCACACCTGGCAGCCGTGAGGAGCGCCGCGTATGTACCCCATGCCCATGGAGATATTTGTACTAACAGCTCGTAGGTCAAGATGAATCGCATGCGCCTTCGTATCGCCGAGCGCTTGAAGCAGTCGCAAAACACCGCCGCCTCGCTGACCACCTTCAACGAGGTTGACATGTCCTCCATCATGGAGTTCCGCAAGCTCTACAAGGACGAGATCCTTAAGAACAAGGGCGTCAAGCTCGGTTTCATGTCCGCCTTCTCACGCGCCTGCATCCTCGCCGCACGCGACGTACCTGCCGTCAACGCTTCCATCGAGGGCCCCGATGGTGGTGACACCATTGTCTACCGCGACTACGTCGACATCTCCGTTGCCGTCGCCACTGAGAAGGGACTCGTCACCCCCGTTGTCAGGAACGCCGAGAGCATGGACATGGTCGGCATCGAGAAGGCCATCGCCGACCTTGGCAAGAAGGCGCGCGACAACAAGCTCACGATTGAGGACATGGCTGGTGGTACCTTCACCATCTCCAACGGCGGTGTCTTTGGCAGTCTGATGGGCACTCCCATTATCAACCTTCCCCAGACCGCTGTGCTTGGTCTGCACGCCATCAAGGAGAAGCCTGTCGCTATCAACGGAAAGGTCGAGATTAGGCCGATGATGTACCTTGCGCTCACATACGACCACCGACTGCTTGACGGAAGGGAAGCTGTCACTTTCCTGGTCAAGGTCAAGGAGTACATTGAGGACCCCAGGAAGATGCTCTTGTAGGCTTCGGTACTGCAGTCTTCTATTTTTGCATATTTTGGTGGATGGGTTATCGGGCGAAAGCGCGGGAACTAGTAGTAGGGTAGGGGAGATGTGGTCGGATGGATCAATGAGACATTTGTACATGCATTGATTGATTCATAACGTGTACATGTGTCGCATGGAAAACCGGGTATATATGAATAGGTGGTTAATTGCATGCTGAGCGTTTCCTCTCTTGCCTTATGCATCAATGTGTCCAGGTTTCAATGTCGCGCCTTTGCGTGGATAGGCAGGAATTGACGCGTAAATTTCCACAAGTGTCGTTGTAGACTTTGTGCCAAATCCCTCAGCATGCCTGTTTTATTCGTATCATGCGCATGTAACCAGATATACACGTATATACACCTCCGGCGTGTCAGTAGTGTGTGGTCGCGTCTGGTGGTCGCGTCTCTCGTATGACGTCATATGAAAACCCCACCACCACCATGGAATTTAATTCTAAAAAGACATCTGGAGAGACTATGGATATGTTATTGGTCGCTCTACAAAGTCTCGAGTGAATTGAGCATGGTGGTGGGTTGTGACAATTTTTTGAATGAGTTGTTGTTCGGTGTTAAATACCAAATTCATCAATGACTACGTTGACATTTTGTGAAATATGAGCAACCAACGAAGAAGCCATGCGAATATAAAACACAAGCAAAAAGCATCCATCGCGAGAAGGACACGTAGTATCATTTGGAAAAAGGTGTAGTTCAAGTAGTATGTGGTTTTTCACCCTTGAGATAACAGCGCAGGTGGCTACATAATCACAAGAAGACACCCGACAGCACGCTCTAACGCATATGCTTCTTGTTTGTAAGCTATCATACATGAAGTGAGATATCAGATACTAGATCCGTCTTACGAGGTGACCATACATAGAAAGTCATGTTCTTGACTGAGATGCACGTACCTACTGGTTGGCGTTGGCAGTACGATAGTATCCAAGCATACTAATATGTAACTTCATGGGCTCGGATAAAAATACAAAGTCTTCTACACAGGTAAGCATTATAAGTTGATAACGTATTATGGACCAAGTCAAAGACATTATGTGGAGGATCTGGGGTACCCCGCTGTGCCGTTTCTGGAGCGGTAATCGCCCAGGTAGTATGATTCGAGACATTTACGTCCAAGTTCGACGCTGGATACCGTGCACATGTGGATTATTATCATCTGCTTTCACGTATGTTCCGAGTTGCAAGAATTACAACTGCACGATTTCTACACGGCACTTCTATGCAGAGTACATTGTCAAAGTTGCGCAATCGCAGACTTGCCGAATGCAACGTTGTCGCACCAGTTGACCGCCTCGAGATCGCGTGCCGCGTGGATCTACCGGTATGAGGAATGGCTGGTGTGAGGCTGATAGCTTCCCGATGTACCTCCACCGCTCAATCTGCAAGCGCCAACTCGCAGACACAGTACAAAACTAAATGCAAACCAAGGCAAAGTCACGGCAAAAGACAAATATTGAAGTGATATGCTCGATTCAGCTCATGAGCTCGCGGTCGTCAATACAACCAGCTAATATACAGCTCTGGTATAAATCCCGTAAAAAGCCGAGAACCCAAACCCAGACCGACTCCCATTATCATTGCAGATGAAAAAGACCCATGAAGTAACCACGCCGTGAAGAAGAAACTCAAATGCAGGACGCGTTTAGAGCTCCTGCGAAGGACCCTTGCCAGGCTTGGCTGTCTTCTTGGGCAGAAGGTCTGAAAATATGTTAGCAACTGATGCGATGCGATTAGACCATGATGCAACGTACTCTGGTGAATGTTGGGGAGGACACCACCCTGGGCGATGGTGACGTGTCCGAGAAGCTTGTTCAACTCCTCGTCGTTCCTGATGGCGAGCTGGAGATGACGGGGAATGATACGGGTCTTCTTGTTGTCGCGGGCAGCGTTACCGGCCAACTCGAGAATCTCAGCAGCGAGGTACTCGAGGACGGCAGCGAGGTAGACGGGGGCACCGGCACCGACACGCTGAGCGTAGTTGCCCTTGCGGAGAAGACGGTGGACACGACCGACGGGGAAAGCGAGACCGGCCTTGGATGAACGGCTAAGGACGAGTTAGCTATGATGCAATGTTGGAGATGCAATGCGAAAAGACGCGTCAATCAAGCAAAAGACGCGTCAAAAAGATGCGAATTGAAACAGAAGAATGCGCAAGGCAAACTCAAGCTCAAGACGCGATGCAGGAGATGGAAACACTTACGATTGAGCGCTGGACTTGGAGCCGCTGGCCTTGCCTCCGGATTTGCCGCCAGTCATTTTGAAGGAGTTTGGTTGGGGTGGGTTATTTGAGAAAGTGGGAGTGGTGAGAGAGATGAGTTGCGTGAGCGGGTTGAGCTGGTTGTGGGCGTGGAGTGTCGAGACGATGGATTGCTTGCTGCTGTTGGGGGGCGGGGCGGTCTTATAAGGACGGCGCTGGACTGTTGTGAGTGCGCGAGATCAACCTGCCCACGCTAGCGCGCGAAAAGGCAGCGACGCCGTCTAGCGCCTGCCGCAAGTCAGCGCAAGATCACTCGCGGGCCTCGCTTAGCTACTAAACTGGCAAGAGCTGCCGCACGGGCCTCCCAGCCGCCTGCTGGATCACAACATGAGAGCGCGCTCCCCATAAGTAGCGCGTCCCCCGCCGTCGACGACCTTTCCCTTCATCCATCGCAAACTCCCACCACGACACTCAGCCAACTCCATCTCACTCAAAGCTTCTGCTTTTAACTCAAATCCACCCTTTTTACCCAACTCCACCAAATCACTCAAAATGCCCCCCAAGGCCCAGAAGACTCCCACCACCGGCGGCAAGGCCCCGGCCGGCAAGGCTCCCGCTGAGAAGAAGGAGGCTGGCAAGAAGACCGCCGCGCCCTCTGGCGACAAGAAGAAGCGCACCAAGACCAGGAAGGAGACCTACTCCTCCTACATCTACAAGGGTAAGTTTGCCATTTGCGCGTCATTGAGCGCGACATCCAGTCTTTGAAGCAATCTGCTTCATCGGTTTCCATTGAGCAAAATTTGCTAACGCGTCTTTGCAGTCCTCAAGCAGGTCCACCCCGACACCGGTATCTCCAACCGCGCCATGAGCATTCTCAACTCTTTCGTCAACGACATCTTCGAGCGTGTTGCCACTGAGGCCTCCAAGCTCGCTGCCTACAACAAGAAGTCCACCATCTCATCGCGCGAGATCCAGACATCGTACGTTCTCCACACTTCCTTTACAATCCATCGCATATACTGACTTCATTCACAGAGTCCGTCTGATCCTGCCTGGTGAGCTTGCCAAGCACGCCGTCTCTGAGGGTACCAAGGCTGTTACCAAGTACTCTTCTTCCACCAAATAGAGTGCTTTCTTTTCGCTGGATGTTTTCTTTGGGTCTTTCTTGTCTATTCCGACAAGTGGTTATGGGGTGCGGTGTTCACGGGTCCTTTGCTAATGTGATCATGGGTCGGTTTGTCTGTCATCGAATCATCTAGTCGTATTCGACTACGAGGTCCATCAGGGTCTGTACATTATACCACAGCAGACGGGAACGAATCAATTCTTTCGAACTTCACACATGACTCAAATTTCTCCAATCATTTCCTGTTCTATTTCTACACTGATTGACCCGCTAATATCCAGCTACCCTTTTCACGAAAGGAACGGTCGAACTTGGTAGCCACCTGTCTACAATACGCACATGGGAAAACGCGCGGAATTCGAGTCGAAGCGCGATATCGACGCGCTCGAGGTCGCGTGTACCGTATTGGGAGATACGCGTCAAAAGCGCGCCTTTCGCAACGCCGCATCCGGAGCAATCGCGTGCTGCACGACTTTGGTTCACATGACGTAGAACTCCATTTTGCGTCAACCGGCCGATTTCACAGTTATGATGATAGACACAGACTTCGCATGGCAATTTTTGGGACTGTCATCATGAGCAAATAACTACCAGAGAACGTGGATTGCACATGGAAACGCGGCATTTACGGATATACATGTGCCAAACCCAAGGAATCCATATCAACAATGCCGAAACTCCAGACATGCATGTACCCGTATGATATCATTGCGAGACCCAAGAGAGAACGCCACCAAGAGAGGGAGAGCAAGCAAGAAGACTACAGTCTACTGTAAGCCATCCTCATCCCAGCTTTCAACTTCGTCAATAGCACCCTCTCTTTCCTGTCCTCGCGGCGCTGGCTCTTTGTCTTGCACGTGAACCACGCTCTTACCTTGCACGCTGCGGACGCCTTCTTTCCAGTTATCGTAGTCTTCCTGCGATGTTATGAGGAATGCAAGGAGCATGGAGGGGTCCATCTCGCGGATCTGAAGACGGCGGATGCGGCGTGTGTGGCAGGTTGCGAGTTCTTCTGCGGAATATGATGCGTTTGATGAAGGAACAATGGTCGTGGATGACGAGGTGGACGTTGCTGAGGCTTCTAGTGTGGAAGATGACGCTCCTGCCTCGCTCTCGGTGGACGATGGAGGAGGGCGGTAGGGTAGGAGTGGGCGTGTGCTGTGGGGGTCGAGGTAGAAGAAGTTGTTCGCCTGCGTGGCTACAAAGTAGTGTGACGCTGATGGTCGGCCACTAGAACAGTCAGTGTAACTACTAATGAAGCATGCGAGATGCTCGTTGCGCCTTACCCTGCAATACCAATACTCTGCTTCATCTGCAGGCTCGCCTTCAGTGCTTCCCAGTATACTGGTGTAATCTTGTCGATGCCCAACCTCGTGCCGACTAGGATTAGTGTAGGCTGCCATTCACCGTCATCCTCCATGGCGATCTCCTTCAGCTTGTCCTCATACACATCAGCGCCATCGCCTGACACGTACACTCTCAGCCCAGCTTCCTTATTCTTGTGCACTAGATCTTGTATGCAACGTGCTGCTGCCGAGGGACCAAACCACTCGCCAGGGTACTTTCCGCATACAGCAGCGCCATGCTCGACGAAGCGATGGATAGAAAAGGGCGCTTTCGGATCGTCGGCAAACATGGAGAGTATCTCTTGATGCTCCTTTGCATCAGGCTTCTCTTGGTATCTCCAGTCCCGCCCGAGACGTAGTATCTGCAGCGCGTTGGCGAGGATGCACTGCCCACTCCTGATCATGCACCCAAAGCCCGTGTCCGATGTGAAGCCAGGTGAGGCGAGGTTCTGCATGCGCACGCGAAAACTCATGGCGCTTGTTGCCTTTGGATCCTGGCTCTTCTGGATGGCCGTGAAGCCAGAGCGGTAGGTCATCCATATGCGCGACTCGAAGTCGTCGAGGAAGGCAGAGGGCCAGTTGCCGTATTGTGCCGGATCCTCGCCATTTGGAGCTTCTCTGCGCTCTGTCTCTTCGATGCTGGTCCTTATCCAGCTTTCATCTTCGTTGCGCTCGGACTGGGGCGTGGGTGTCCCGGCGGATGGGGAGTCAGTAGGCGTAGGCTTGGATGGCGGAGGACGGGGGTCGTAACGTTGGCCCAGCAGCCATATGGGTTCGTTGGAGTCGTTCGTAGGCGGAGGGTCGTAGAAGGTGCGGACGACGTTGCGGGTAACGCGCTCGAAGTCATGCATGATGGCTGCAACTATAGGTGGTGTGGCCAGGGCGACGATGGATGCGGAGGTGATGCGGAGGTGATGCGGAGGTCCGAGATGAGGTTGCCTAGAGCTGGCTACATGCGTTCGTACTTGCCACGACTATTCACACATGCTCACGACACAAAGTTGTTGGAAGAGAGATAGAATAGGAGCACGATGTTGAACTCGCTCAGTTGGTGCAGCGAGCCGCAGAGGTCATATGCGGCTCTACGACCCAAGGTTCCCGCGGGGGAGGGGTCCACGGTGGCTATCACCTGGCTGCCCACGGGTGTCACTTAACATCAATCACGCTTCTGGAATGCGTTGGCGAGAGCATGTACCACGACCAAGTATACCATGCTTCATTCAAGCGCATCAGATTTACTCATTCTGTGATGGATTATCCGCCTGGGGACTTGTTACTGTTCTCTCGGCAAGCTGAGAGCTCCCTACAGCGCGATAACCAGCGGCCCCATCGTCATAAGCTCCGCTGAGCTAACCCTGCGCATCATTACTAGCCCCGCGCCACTCGCGACGAGACATCGAAGAGCGCATCATCTCCAAAAGCTTCCACCGCACTTTCCTTTCCTTTTCACCGCAAACTCTCGTCGCACCGCCATCGTCATGTCGCACGGCAAAAAGGGCAAGAGCAAGGCCAAAGGCGGCTCAGCTAAGAGCACACCGCAGCGCGCGCCTTCCAAACGCCACTCATACCAGTCATGGCCAGTCCATGAAGAGAGTACGTTTGCGCTCCTTTCCAGTCCCCAATGATTGGGTCGTGTTGACCGTTCCTACAGCAGCCGCGTCCAAGTTCTCCCTCAAGGACGAAGCAAAATGGATGTCCAGTCACCGCACCGCTGCGTTTGAGGCTGGCAAGAAATTGCGACACATGCCCATCGAATTCATAAGTGCCGGTCACCTCGAAGGCACGCTGAAGAAACTGGACACGCCTGAAACAGATACTGCCCAGGTCTCGTCTGATCCTGGCGCCGAGTCAAATACACCGTCCTCGCCCTCTTCCACACCCGACAACACAACAGCAATGGCACACATGGCGATCCGCAGCCCCTCGCCTGCGCTCTCCGAGGCTTCATCATCGAGCGCTGATGAGGTGCTGTTCAGAGGTCGTGGAAACCAGTCATCTGCTGCTCCCGTCGCCACCTCATCTACAGAACAGGCACCCAAAGCCACGCCTACCGCCACGCCACAACCCTTCGAAGGCACACCATCACGACCATTACAGTCTACTCCTGCAGTAGAAACACCACCTGTTGAGACGCCTGAGTTCACAACTGCCTCAGCCGTCGATCGTGCATCGGTGATTGTGACAGGCGACGCCCCAGTATCGGTTGAGCTCAGTATTCGAGGCAATGCTGCTTCTCGGCTAGAAGCAGAAGTGGGCTCAGATGCTGACGACGTTGATCAAGACCAATTCGCGAGGCGAAGAGGAGGTAGGCCTGCGTGGGAAGGCAAAACTACCGAATGGCAACACCGAAGCAAGCCCAATGTTGGATGGTTGCCTGATGCTGACCGTCCCGACATGAATGACTATCTGCACGGCGAGGTGAACCCCCGTGACGCAGCTATTGACGACTACATGCAGAACATGGAAGAGTTCGGTCTCACCGAAGACCTGCTGGCTACATCTGGCTTCGCTCGTCGTGAAATGGATCTGGACGCAGGCAGCCACAACGATTGGGAATCGGTGTCTGGAAGTCAAGACGGTGGCAACGATGGAGAGGGCAGCGACAACTGGGATTCAGACATGTTGCAGGATTTCGAAGACATGAGCACCTCATCAGATGTGATGGACAAAGTCGTTCGGATTCTATCAAAGCGCACCCGCAAGAGTGGCCTTCAATATCTCTGCGTGTACGAAAACTCTGTCACGGACGATGCCCGTTGGCTGTCTTACACACATCTCAAGACTGCCGACGAGAAGCGGTTGATCAAAGCTTTCGAGGCAGAGGTCTACGAACGTGAACAGCAGATGCTTTCCAGTAGTGACTCCGAGAATGAAGATGACGACGACGATGACGACGACGACGAAGACGAAGAAGACGAAGAGGAACTCGACGATGAGACTATTGCGAAGATCTTGCAGAAGCAAGAAGAACTTGGCCTCGGTGGCGACGAGGTAATGTTGTATGCTGGCGACGATTTCTTCGACGACTCAGGCCCTGCCAACGACTACTCGTATGGCGCTTACAGCAGACCTAGCAAAAAGAAGGGACGTGGACGAGGTAACAAGGAACCTACTTTCCCCTCGGCCTCTGCTATGGTTGCAGCCCTTGAGATGGATCCATATGGCGGTTTTGACATCATGGACACTGAGCGCCCATCCTTAAAGCCTAAGAAGAAGGGCCGACGTGGCCAGCCACCGCCAGAATTGGATGACTCCAATCTCAACGAACAGCTACAGAGCGCGTGGGCAAATGATAGAGAAAAGAAGCGCCTTAAGAAGGCGGAGCGTGAGGAGCTGCGTCAACAAGGCTTACTAGGTCGTAAGGGTAAAGGTCCCAATCTCAAGGTCAAGTACCAGGGTGGTATTGACATGGAGGACATTGTCGAAGAGCTTCGTGAGTTCTTGGTGGGTGACATGCAGACACTGTCTCTACCGCCCATGGAGGCCTATCGCCGCGCCACCGTCCACCAAGCCGCTTCATTCTTCAATTTGAACTCCCGTTCCCGTGGCGATGGTAACGACAGATTTACTATTCTCTCCAAGACCAATCGCACGCGCATATATACTGATGACGAGTTTGATATTGCGATTGCAAAGAAGGGCTTCCAGAAGCGCCTCAAAGGTCCTCTCTATTCGCAGGGCGGTGGCGGCCGTCCCGGGAAGTTCTCTACTGTCAAACACAAACAGGGAGGTGCACGTTCCCGTCCTCTGCTGGGTTACAAGGACGGTGAGACCGTTGGCGCAAACGCACCAGAGTTGGGCCCGGAAAACAAGGGTCATGCTCTGATGATGAAGATGGGGTGGTCCAAGGGCACTGCTCTCGGTACTGCCGACAACAAGGGAATTTTGCAACCTATTCCGCATACTGTCAAGACCAACAAGGCCGGTTTACAGTGACCTGGCTTTTGTGGTCACAACACGGCTTAAGAACGTTGTTTCTCTTGTAACGTTTGCGAAGTCGTGTTTGATGGGACTTTCCCCTCTACCGTCCCCGGATGCGCAACATCGATTGCGTCTGATGTGGACGTTAGTACCTTGTGTATATCCTTGTATGTATTAGTACTGGCGATCTTTCTGGCGTACGATGGGTTTTTCTTGATACTAGCACAGTCACAAAGGGCGATGGTATTGTATTGCATGGCGGAATACCGGCGTTATCTAGATCCTTCACCACCGCCTGCATACTCATCGCAGCGGTTCATTGTGCAGCTCCCATCTGCAGCTTGCGATACTTCCCACAATTCCACTGAGTTATGTCTTGTCGACAAAGGATCCTGTCGCGACACTGCTTAGCTGGGCATTGAAACTATAGAAAACTCAACAAAAACCAACGATTGCACAACTTTGTCCTTTTCCTGATGAAAGTGATCGTTCTGTGTGATCTCAGTATACCAAAATATGGCTTGAGCAGTTCCGATATTGAATAATGCCCGCAACTTGCTGCAGATATTTACCTGATGTTCGGGGTCGAATTTCTATAATGAAAAGGATCACCAATATCAGAAGAAAATCCAAACATTCAATAACATATGGGATTGGCTCCAGAATCCATTGCGATAGTCATTCATTGGTCTAAATAGTCATTTATTCCATTCAATATGTCCTCGGTACGTTGGAGTGTTTCGTCGTCCTCATCTTGTTGAACCCACTGCTAGGGCGAGCCCATACCAGACTGCCACCTCAAAACAGGAAATAAGACGCAGCTTTGTGTCTGAATGACGCTTGAATATCTCCATCTTTTGCGGAAACTTACGCGTATTGTTGCTTAGGGATAACGTAGGCGCTTTGGAATGATTGTTCGACAAGTCATGGTTCCCACTAAAGGGGTCAATTGACGGAAAGCCTTTATCAAGGCAAGCAGTCTGAGAGATCTATTCGTAAGATAATCGTGACAGAAAGGACACAAACACCACGTGTAGGTCCCAATGTTATGTACGAGAACGCCGAACAAGCCAATGCTCCCCTCTTCTTAATCAACAAAAAACGTCCCGATATTGTGAGTGATGCCAAATGAGGGTGTCGTGTTCCCCGAAGAGTCAAAATATAGTGGATATCGTAGTGAAGGTCCTGCTGTACTGGTTCGTCCTATTCTGCAATTTCTTCCTAACATTCGAGAAAAAGAGGATGCGATCAAAAGGCGGCGTATTCCTCGTTTGGTGGCAGTTGGTAGTTCTCCGCGTGCAAACCCTTCAGAGCTTCCTCGCCGTCCTTGGTGAGGTCTGGTCTGCCGACAGGTGTGACTGCTCCAGTGAAGAATCGTGGTTTCCATTCTTTCTCCGCCGCCTTGCGCTCCGCCGCCTTCTGCCGTTGCTTCTCCTCGATCTCGGTCTTGAGGTTTGTCGCTAGTCCATATTGCTTGCCTACTATGGCATTTGTGACGCCATCCCAAAATTTGAGGGACTCGTTGGGAAGCTGCTGATCAAGCGGTGGAACGATCTTGGCTACGGGGTCGAGCGGGTTGAGGTCGATGATGAGGTTCTTCTCCTATTAAAATGTTAGATTGTGGTGCAGACTACTAATCAGTATACTTACGGCAACCTTGGCGAATGGCTTGCTGCCGAGGGTGTAGTAGACCTTATCTTGCCAGTTGCCCTCTATCCGCGCAAGGACATCCTTCTCTGATACATCCTTGATCTTGGTAACAGTATCATTCTTGGGGTCATACTTGAAGATGACACCCAGGACCTTGTTCTGTGATCGACCGAGCCAGCCCTCCTCCTGGTATTCTAGAATGACCTTCAGCCCTGTCTTTGGGCAGGTAACGAAGCAGCTATCTGCGACAGATACATTGAGGGAGCCTGTAAATAGAGTAAGCATGGTCACACTACATATAATGCTCTCATGACATACCGCGTAGTATGCCCCCAAGGTAGGCCGCTGGGTGAGTGAGCTGGTACTCCTCATCGCCCCGGTTCTTCAAGTTGATGAAGATGCCCAGGTTGTGTGCTCCAGCAACCACACGCACGCTTGTGCCAGTAAATTTGGCGCTTAGTTGATCGTAGCCTCGTGCGCTAATGCCCTTCTCGGGACAGTCGACGTAGAAGGCGGAGACAGGCGGGTGGTGAGACGTTTGCTCGGTAAGGTAGGAGACGGTCACGGTCTTGCCATCGCCTTTGACGCTGTTGGCAGCGCTTGTGGGTGCGGAGTTGGGTGTCTTGAGGGTGGGATGAGTATCCTCGATCTTCCAGTTACACTGTGAGAGTCAGTAGGTAGCCCGTGTCGTTCCGGGTTAGAGCGTACCCTGAAGAATTCGCCCAATGTAGAGTTGTAAGGCTTGCACGGCTTGCCCTTGACGTATTTCTGCGCCAGCATTAGCTACGTTTTTCTCGAGGGTACATGCAGCATACCAGGTCCTTTGTAAACCAGAAGCGCAAGCACCCCAGCATGCGCCCCAGGTCGTCATCCGAATCTCCGATACTGTGCAGGTCAGTAATGGGCCTTGCAACCTAAGTTGAAGCTGTGCTGACCTGATGAATGTGTCGGGCCTGTCCAAGTAGTGCCAGTACTCTGCTATCCGTCAGATGATAGTCTTGCCACAGCGACTTGCCATGACAGCAATCCTAGATCCATGGTGATGCAACGTACCCAAGTTTGGCCTTGGTTCGAGGAGTTGTGCGGGGAGGGAGAAGCGAACAGCAGCGAGGTCGGAGACGCCAATGAACCTGAAGGAAGACCGAGTTAGCTTTCGCGCGTTGAAACTCGCCAGTCGTGCCTAGTAGACATGCTGTGACCGGGTGGTGCTACGTTACCTCCTCAATATGCCCAGGAAGGTCTTGAACTTGGAGCTGTCGTCCGGAGCCTTCTCTGCGGCGGCGTTTGAAGGTGTTGCAGCCCGCGAATTATCTGTCGAGTTGAGGGCGGACGTGGTTGCAGAGCCCGGTTGGGCCTTCTCTGGCGCAAGGTCCGCCATGGTGATGGGATACGTGTTTTACTCAACAGAGTAACAGCAAGTGGGGATAGGAGCTCGAAGCTATATCTAGGTAAAGATCGATGATGTCGTCAGGTGTTGAGGCGTTGCGCTTTTCGGGGTCACTTGGCAGTTGGCACACGCGCGGAACTCTGACGTAGCGCAGCCGATAGCCTCTAACCTTGTCGCAGCGGGGTAGTGGAGAAGGGAAGGAGAAGAATATCAGATCGAATGGAGCATACAGATCCAAGTCGGAAAGACGGTTATCTCCAACTTGCAGGGGCTGGAGTTCTTTTATTTAGCGTTGCCGTTATCGTACCTCTCTAATCCCAACCTGCGCGTCTGCTGCAAGGTCGAAACGCGCAATAGGGACATGCATTGACAGATCGTGCATCGCTTGATTGGGTGCAGTCTCGCCACCGACTCTCACCCCTACCACGTTTCACAACCGCGAATAGCCTACTTCACAACCGTGGAACCGCATGACATGTGTAAGAGAACTTCTCGTCTATTCTGTGCTACACCTGAACTACACCAATTCAAGTGTGATGCTCCAGCCTGACGTGCTCGTTTTCGACCTGTGCACACGACGACGCCAAAGTTCCAGACATACCGACTAACGACTGATCGCTGTGATCGACAATGCAAATGACCGTCGGTCCACCCCTACGCGCCGTCCCTGATCGTACCTTGCGTTGTCGCGAAGTCATCAGTCGTCCCACTCCCGCCAGACTCCAATTTCACATGCCTTGGGCGTGTCCGTGTATATTTCTACTTCGTACCATTCTTCTACTGGTCCACCAGAGCCTGACAACCTATCCAACACAAGCCATAGATCGCCTTGCGTCGTGAGCTTCGGATCAATGTTCACACTCTCGGACCGAACTGTGGCAGTATCCGAGTACTCTCCTTGTTCGCTCGCGATGATGAACTTGCGCTCTGGGCCCCGACCAATTTCAACACTCAGTCGAAGCGGGCTGCGCGCTAGCTTGCCCAAATCCATAGCACGAGGACTTGTTGCCTTGGCGAATCTGGCGATGATGGTATACGAAGCCAAGCGCATAGGCCACAACGGCGCGGCAATTTTATGTATGTTGGCACCGAAGCAGGCCGGAGTGAGCTTCATTGAAAGGAGACCTGCTCCATCGCGTGGGACTTGCTTCAAAACTACCTCGCTCGTGCTGTCAACTCGGAGTTGGTAGTCGCCAGTCAGACCAGCTTCAAACAACGAGCAAATGATTGTGTAGGAGCCCGGCTGAAGGTCCTTAATCTCCGCTAAGACACATCCACTGCGGTGATCGCCCGAGTCTGCCAGTACATCGCGACTCTGGAGACGATATAATCTCTTTCCGTGTCCCAGCGCAAGCTTGACATGTAAGGGATGCTCGTGGTTCGTACTCGTGAGCAGGATGGCTAGTGAACCACATTCCCGAACGGTGAGCGAATACTGAGGATTATCAAAATATTTCGACGAGTCTGTGCCGCCGCCAGCCGTCTGCCTCGTCCAGGCGCCTTCCTCCATCTTCTGGAGGGGGTACCGCTGCGCTGCCTGTTCCAGTGTGATTGGCGAATTTGCGAATGCTGACAGGGAGAAGCTGTACAGTGATGGAGGCAAGTCATCTTGATCAATCACCACTGTATAGGTCGAGTGCGCATCTGTGTCACAGCGAAGAAGACACTGCGGTGTTGTGACGTAGTCGCTCGACTCTAGGTAAGTATCTTTCATATATAGTCGTTCTCCCTGGCCATTACAGATAGATATACTCATGTATCCCTTTGGTGCATCTCCGTTAGAGTTGACTTGAGAGTCAGGGCGGATACTCCCGTCGTTGAATGCATCTGACTCTTCCTTGGTAATTGCTGTCGTGTCTCGGAAATGGCGACTAAGGAGAAACCACACGGGGCCGGTGTGTTTAGAAGCAAAGGCGAATTGTGGATGCTTAACGAGGCAACCGCCTGGCGACGACTCCACATTCCATTCAAAATGAATATCCTGTCGATACTGGAATAGGCCAGGGTTCCAGTTCAGGTACAGGCTCTCGAAGTGCTGTATGACCTGCTCAAGCCCGATCCAGAACGTCGTTGGGTGCGGTCGATCCTGAGTCGGAACACTGTCCCTGTGATAGCTCTCGAGGCTGTTACTAGAGCCACCACTGGAGATAGACGCAGACGCATCCATGGCCGTTACAGCCGAAGGACGAGGGCCACGCCAACCCTTGCCTTCGACCCAAGGGTTCTTGATGAGCAACAGTCGGTCATGATCCGTCTCTTTCATATCCAGCACGACGTAGCTGTGTTGGCCTTCAAGACCGAGTTCGCGCTCCTGTCTAGTCGACATCTTCCCAGTACCTGCAGTAACCAGAACATCGCCATACATGAAAGCGTTGTATATACGCTTCCATAGCTGCTCTGGAACTGTATCTGCCCTATAATACTCAGTATGGTAAGACGTAGATACGAAGTAGGAAATAACTTACTCTTGCAAAAACACTTGTTCTGGTATCCAGCCGGTCATCGCCCAAAGATCACTGCATGAACTGCTTCCAGGGAAATCGTAGCCACCGCGGACCTTGAGATATGCTTTTTCGAGTAATGCCGGCCACAAGAGCGCTGGATTGCGGCGATCGATGACATGCAGCAGCCGATGGGTACTCGATACCGGTAACCTGTCGTCGATGACCACCTTTCTCCAACAACCATTGAAATTAAGCCGTACAATATACTTGCCGTTAGATGAGACTACTGGCTTTCCAAGGTGCTTATCGTATGGGTATATCTTGTTCGTGAGCATCTGTCGCAGTTAGTACCAAAGACGCTGACCTTTCCGCATGACAAACCTCGTCGTGACCCCGTTCAGAGCGAGCAATACCAGCACATAAGCTCGTAACCACTGAGCAATCCGAAGCTGCATCCTGTACAAGATCTAGAGGCCTCGTGCTGGACATCAAAGGCCCGATGCCAGCCCTGCCATTAGGGAACTGCGAGGGCGGCGGGACAGCATCTTTGGCGCGTAGCCAACCCAAGAAGAATTGCTGCTGGTATGGCGATAGACTCAGATCCCGGGTGTCCCTGTTGTTGTCAGTGTCTTGAAACCCCCCTTCTCGAGCATTAGGTGATGTACGTGTAGGGAGCCACGCCCTCTTCCGATGTAAATTCATGTGCAGATGGCATTTTGTCCCAAGGCGGAAACTTGAAGCCATTGACTATGGAAGCCTTCAATAAGATGATGCTCTCTTTTGCGGGCAACTTCCTGCTTGAAACTGGCTCCCGTAGCCTGTGTATCTGAGCGTGGGGTACAGTCGATGGTGTTAGGTCCGCTGCTTGCGGAGCAGGTGCCTTCGGCTGAGGCTGTGGAACAGGGAAGTGTGGCGTCGCAGATGGATCTAGTTCCACATTGTGAATGTCTTTTGTGTGGTGATCGTGGCCAATCTTGGCGTTTGAGCTATCTTCGTGCCATACATCAGTGATTGCGCTTGGTGTGTCGACTGGAACAGGATCATCCGAAAGATCGATAAGTGGCATGGAATCTTCATAGATAGCTTGCTTGATAGAAGGAACTGTTGAAGAAACATCTGAATGATGAATGAATGCTGATGAAGAAGAAGCTGACGATTTACCTGAAGCTGCTGGACCGCTGACAGGCCCTGTAGTTGAAGAAAGATCACCACGTGATGTGTTCGAACGAGTAGTAGAGTCTCCAAAGGCTATACCGGGAGTCGTACTTCCAGCGACCTGGGCAGCCCACCGACCGAACCGCTCGTCTCTTGCATTTGAGGGCTGTGGTGCGACTAAGGGTGTCCATGTTTCTGTTTTCTTGATGCGATCGGCAACATTCATCATCTCTCCGCATTGGGCCTTAATTTGTTTCTTTTCGTCTGGATTCGACGACAGTTTGAGCGCTTTCATTAGATTCTCAGCCACACTGATGGCCAGGGTGAGCGCCTCATCTTTGGTAGCGGCTGTCTGAAGCTGGGAGCGGTAGTTCTGGTAGCTTGATTAGTTGGAGCTACAATGAAGAACTTGTTACTGCCACGAGAGGTTAGTTGCGAGTATCACATACGCTTGCAGCAGCTTTACAAGCCTCAAGCTGAGCGGCCCGGTCAGCCATCGTGAATGGCCTGAAACGGGGTGTGGTTAAAGAAGTTTGACCAATACGATTAGCGGACAGTGAAGCTACTTGCTTCGTGCCATAACGATGCGACTAACTTGGGGGACTTGAGTCAAGGGCGCATCAAGAAGTCGTGATGGTGTTCTGTTGTTTGCAATGGAGCTGAGCGTTTTAGCGCGACGCACGTTCCTGCCAACTGCCTGTTGCGACTGCCAGCTGCAGCAGGAAATGCAGGTTCATAGCAGGTGAGCGAGCCGAAACGTCTCTGATTCACGTGTAAGGTATGCCGAGCCCACGGCGGCTTGCCTGCGCTCACCGAAACGATCAACAATGGCGACGGTGAAGGAAGGCCCAAGGGAGCAGGGTAAGACGTCATCCGACCCTGAACCTCGGCCTCTGGAACCTCGGGAGAGGTCAGCCATGCATGCGACAGCGCTATCGCGTTGCGGGCACCATGAACGTCCCCTGCCCGCTTTTTCTAACCCCCGATGCTGCTATCTCCAGTCCTCAGATTATCGCGGTCATAATGAGATAGTGAGAATCGATAGCTTCCTCCACACGACCATACCCTTCTGCCCGTCACGCTCTCCGTAGTCGCAACACTCAGGCCAAGCTTTAGCAACTTTACTCGACCACCACTACCATGGCCGGGCAGTCCAAGGTAGAGACTCTACCGCCATGGGGTAACGCTGTCGCAGGCGCCGCCGGTGCTGTCATCGCGAACACGCTCGTCTATCCCCTGGACTTGTAAGTTGCATATATTCTGAGACATTGTATGCAACCGAGAGAAATACTAACAACACCTCAGGATCAAGACGCGGCTACAGGTCCAGGTCAAGCGCTCCCCCAACTCGAACGATGCCAATCCCGCCGATGGCGAACACTACGATGGTGCGCTCGACGCGCTGCAAAAAGTCTTTGCAGAAGAGGGTTTGGCTGGACTGTATGCTGGCATAGGAGGCTCTCTGCTCGGTGTAGCATCGACCAACTTCGCCTACTTCTACTGGTATACTGTTGTACGAAGTCTCTACATGGCGAACCGCACGCTCCAAGCATCACCGAGTACCCCAGTCGAACTCTCTCTGGGAGCGCTTGCGGGAGCGCTCGCCCAGCTCTTCACAATTCCAGTCGCCGTCGTAACGACGAGGCAACAGACCATGAGCAAGGCAGAGCGCAAGGGAATGATCGCTACGGCTATGGACGTGGTCAATGGCGAAGATGGCTGGACTGGTCTCTGGAGAGGTCTCAGGGCTAGTCTGGTGCTTGTGGTCAACCCTTCCATCACATACGGAGCTTATCAGCGATTACGGGAGGTCTTGTACCCGGGGAAGAAGACGCTGAAGCCCCTAGAGGCGTTCCGTAAGTCAAGACTACTACTATTGCTCAAGTAAAGCTGCTAACAGGTTTTAGTCATCGGGGCTCTTTCTAAGACTCTTGCCACAATCGCAACACAACCCCTTATCGTCGCAAAAGTCGGGCTTCAATCAAAACCCCCGCCAGCCAGGAATGGCAAGCCTTTCAAGTCCTTCACCGAAGTTATGCAATACATCATACAACACGAAGGTCCTGCAGCACTCTTCAAGGGTATCGGACCCCAGATCCTCAAGGGTCTGCTCGTCCAAGGTTTCCTCATGATGACCAAAGAGCGTATCGAGCTATCCTTTATTCTCCTCTTCCGATACTTCCGCCAAGTACGCGCCGAAAAACTGCAAAAGCTTGCAAACATCGCAGCAGAAAAAGCCGGAAAGGCGGCGCCGATCCTTGCCAAGTAGGCCTTGGCTTGCTGGCATATTTATTCCTTCATCTCCAGTGTACATATCCTGCTTTGGGCTTGTTTGCGCAGGCGGATGGAGCGAACGCTGTATTGAACTTGATCTGGCGTTTGGCACTGATTGTTGTTGGGGTTATACACATAGTACATTCTATAAACACTGTTGCATTCTTTTCACAACACACAAGTCTGCGTCACAAAGCGCTTACAGCTATGCCAATTGATGTGCTGTACTGAAGCTGTGAAGGAGCCCGAGCGACCAAGATCGTTCACACGGATGCAAACCCTCCCAAATCTGCCGAGTTGTAGAAATGTCGACTCACTCCTTCACCTCCTTACTCTAGCACTTATCACTTCTTAGTCTTCAACAATAAGCAAGAGCACCGTCTTAGCACAACTGAACCCACGGCTCACCAACCGTGCCATAACTCCGACGAAAACCAAACACCAACACAACTTTATACGATACTAAACCTTTGATACACAACAAGATGTGCCATCTCCGCCCTACAAAGTATACATGCGGCCACGTTTCCCCTATTCACACACCAGAACATCAACGCCCGAACGGGCCTGTCAGTGCCAGGCAATCAAACCTAGAGACTGAGGTGAGATATGAAAATTTGAACTGTGTTCAAGACATACACTGACTTCGTACAGTGGCCGACACACAAAGACACAACATGTGGCGCATGTCAAGATTCTTCACGTAGAGGTGCGCGATGCTATGTGCCCTTGAGTGAGATGATAGTAGTTTATGAAGAGGCCAAAGGCGAATGTGACGAGTGCAGAGAAAAGAAGGGGGCTGAGGAGGAGTTTTAGGGTGGAAGAGGGTGAACGGATGTGTAGAGATACCACTGTTGTATTGATCGATCAACAGACGAACGCGGAGACAACAGTGCCGTGTAGTCTGCAAAGGTACTCGTGATAGTACATGGGCTCGAGGAGGAGTATTCGAGCATGTGATGTTATCGTGTATATATTTAGACCATACACTAAATTTTACGCTTCGTCAAGCTTGAGGATAATTTTGGACAAACTTCTAAGCAATGTGCAGCAGCAAACTAGTGTTCATGCGGTTGACGTCATCAACACAATGGCATGTCTTACTAGCTTAACATCTCGAGCGTCTTCCAACACAGCAATTTCGCACAGCTGCTTCCAAAACCAGCAGCAATTCATCTTCACTGTAGCCATGTCAGAGTCATCAACCCGAATTCCATGGCAATCTATACCTTCCTCCACCGCAACATGCAAAGTCCATCTGATTCAAGCTGGCGGTCTTCACATCCCTACGGACATGGTCTTGCTCCCTGGTCCGGATAAGCCGCAAGAGTCAGAAGACTTCAATGACGAGAGCGGAAAAAGGAAGACATTTTATGCTCCAGACTATGTGTTCCTCATTGAACACACTGCAACCGGGAATAAGTACGTTTTCGATCTAGGCATGCGAAAAGATCTTGAAAATCTCCCCCCTCTTATTGTGGAAGGCACTCTACCGAACTTCAAATGCGAACCGAAGTCACCGGCAGAGATACTGCAAGAGCATGGATCGGCCGATCAACAACCTGAGAAAGTCAAGGCAGTCATTTTTTCGCACATGCACTTTGACCATGTTGGCGATGGGGCTAAGGCTGGATTCGAAGAGGCAGAGATGTGGGTTGGACCAACATGCTGTACATACGCAAGGCCTGGTGGGTATCTCCCATGTGCGAACTGCATGTGAGAAACTTGCTGACCTTGTACATCGAACTCCAGGTTATCCGACTGATCCAAAAGCTCCAACGCTGAGTGAGACTTTGCCAGTGGATGGTAGCCGGAAGATTGTAGAGAGTTTTGTGCCTGATGATATATTGAAAGAAGCAGGCGATAAGAGAGCTGGTCTGGTCATGGAGGGTATGGTAAAGGGTAAATATGCTGCTGTAGATCTCAAAAAGCCTGAGTGGATCGGCATCGGCGCTTTTGATCGGGCATACGATGTTTTCGGGGATGGATCAGCGTATATTATCGACGCTCCAGGACATTCGTCGGGCCATCAGATGATGCTACTGCGAACGACATCAGGTTCCAACGAGAACGAGCACACCTTTGTACTGCTGGCCGGCGACTGTTATCATCACCCGGACCTGCTCAAAGAGCCGAAACGTACTGCCAGGCCACCTTATGCAAAGTCAGGCATGCACGCCGATCCAGAACAAGCAGTGAACACGATGTTGCGCACAAGAGAGTTCACGCAGAAGGACAACGTATGGGTCATTGGAGCTCACGATATAAGTGTAGGCGAAGGTATCAATCCGGGGGTTAAAGAACTAGAGGGACTTGTAGGAATCAACAACTGGTTAGAGAAGGGATGGAAGAAACGATTGTAGCTTAGCGTAGCACACCATCATATCCAATTCATCTGACAGCATAAGACGTAGTTCCCATATACAAATCCTAGTCTCTGAAGCCTTTCACATGCTCAGACCCCAAGCCCTTGGCTCCCGAGACACCCAAAGCTTGACAACCGTCTCCTCTCCCGACCTTGCGTCACACCGTCCGCTCTGCACCCTGAATTGCTACGCGCTGACAAGGGCCATCCCAAACCCATCGCTCGGTATGAAGCGTAGATCCCGCGGAGTCCGAGCATTGCCGTTACCCGAGGCGATGTGGAGTTCATCTTAGTGTTGCGGCGCACAGGGTTTCGGGATGTTTGGGTGGCTTGGATGCATGAATGAGAGTGGCGTGATTACGGATACGTAGGATTGTATGATGCCTGAAATCTGAGGGAGCCAAGGTACAATCAGGCTAATCTTTGGATTGGCAAGTACGAAGATGTGTGGCCGTGGAGACGCTTGCGTATGGAATTCATTCTTTCTTCATCATTAGAAATTCTATGGGATATCGTAGACTTTGAACATGTGTCTTTAGCCGCTTGCAGCTTTCAAGATTAACAAACAAAAAGACCAAAAGTGTAAAGAGACGAGCGAATTATGTACAACCGTAGTAATAAGTGACAATTCGCTCTCAATATAGCAAATGGTATAACCCCAGCCCCTTCGTCTTTCTCCCCATTTTTCGCTCTCCAAAACTCGTGATGGCATCTAGAAGTTCTCCTTGCCCCATACGAAACTGAAGCCAGGCTCAGAGTACATGTTGCACTTGACGTGGAGCGTAGAACCAAGACCCTTGGGGCCACAGAAGAAGACACCAGCCTCGGCAGGTGAGTGGATCTTGCGGATGGACTTGAAGATCATGTCCCAGTTGGGTCGACCGAAGTTTGTAGGAGCGCGGAGACCGGTGATGGCGTCCTGTTCGGCGTTTGCGTCATTGATCATGATGTTTGTCGCGTCGTCTGCCTTGATCTTTGCTGTAAGGTACTATGGGGATGATTAGTAAATCATCATTTCGAAGAGCCGCTGATGAGCATAAAACTTACGGTATGGATCTCGATGTGGTCATCGATATCCTGTGCCTCAATAGCCAGCAACAGCGACCTGAACCATTCAAACGACCCGAAATCTCTGCAGATCCAGAAGAAGTATACCTTCCTTAGCCTTGTACGAGATCCCTGAGGGTAGTTCATGCGGTACCAAATACTCTTGAGAATCGAGGCGAAAGGTGTAACACCAATACCAGCACCACAGAGAACGGCGACTTCGAACTTGAACACATCCTCAGAGGCGGAACCGAAAGGACCATCGATGTAGACTCGGGGGAGGATCTGTCGCAAGGCGATCTCTTCGCTCGATCCGCCCTTCTCACCCTTTTCGCCAGGGGGCTTCCTCTCCGTGCTACAACCAAGGGCCTGACCGAAGGCTTTGGTGAAGTTTCCGACCATACGAATGTGCACAGAGATGTAGTCTTCCTCAGGTGCGCTGGTAAGTGTAAAGGGGTGGTATTGCCAGATGGAGATTTCAGGGCAGCACAAAAAGATGTACTGTCGTCGTTAGCATACGGTCATGTTCGAATAGGGAGGCGACATACCTGTCCAGCACGAGTTTTGGTATGCTCCTTCTTGATCTGGACCTCGCAAACGTTGCTAGGATGCTGAATGACCTTGGAGATGTACGTCTTGTGTCGTCCACGTACTTCGCGGGCAATGCGTTCAGCCAGGTAGGCAAATCCACCGTACATCCAGTACTCCCAGAAGACACCAATTCCATCGCAGAAAGGCGCAAAATCGGGTTGAATCATACAGAAGGCTCCATGGATCGACCAGAAGACGAAGAATATGATGAACAGATGGTGCATGTACCAGAAGCGTTCAAAGTTTGCGCGACGAGCCTTCTCAGCAGCTGTAATAGCGATCGCGTTGAGCGCAATCAACATGACGTAACCACTCCATCCAGGTCCGGTCGCAAGGTTAGCTAGGATGAATCCCATAAATCCTAGGTCGTTCGTTGCCGAGAATCGGGCGAGATTGTTCCAATGGGCGATAGTATGAACCCAGGAGAAAAACACGATGGACCAGGCCACCAGCTTGTGAAAGGTAATGTTCTTGTCGAAAGGAATTACGTCGTTCAACGGCGTACGACGGGCCATAGAAATTAGGTTCCTGCATACTGGAAAGAGGATGAAAGCGACGTCGACGTGGAGCACCAGAGCGGCCGAACGAGCAATGGGGAAGGTCAGACCAAAGCGATTCCTTGAACCAATAGAGTTATCCTTCAGTCCATAGTTCATCATACCAAAGACGAAGACCATGACGTGCAATATCGCAAAGGTGAACACAAAGCTTGGTACGTTAGTCGATTTGCTTCTTTGGCCTGGTGCTGTGACCTACAATCTTCGGTAACCCTCGTTGACCATCCACACGTCAAATTTCTCTTTCCGGGTCAACTCTCGCGCCTTTTCGTCCGACATCTCTCCGGACATGAGCATGCGCGTCAGCGGTGGCCATCTTGACCGCTCGCGACCTGTGAGGCTGGTGGTGTACGACATAGCTGCTGGGTGGAGCGAATGTAGCAGCAATTGAATGACTGGTGTGGATGCCGATGATCTTCAGACCTGCTGAATGTGGCCGAAGTGGAGCAACAAGTTCAATGAGTGTCTAAGTAATCTGTGCAGAGGTTAGATCGAAGCCACCAGGGACAGCGACACACCAGCACGAGAAGCCCTGGGAAAAGAATGAAGTGACTTACTAAGAGTGCCCGCACAAAAGAAGAGAAATAGTACAAGAAGAGGCGTTCAGTCACCCGGCTAAAGAAGCACCGGCATGAAATCGGTCGAGTCTTGGGGTGAGTAGGGGAAACAAAAGCCTATAAGCCAACGTTGCGGCGAACAGAGGAAGAAGCGGCACCGACGACGGGGGTTAGGACAAGGTCAGGTCAGCTTTGCCATTAGCGAAGTGGGTAAAGGGTATCAGTCCGTCAGATAGTCGGGAGGATGGGCAATCCAGGGCCCAAAGAGCGAAACGGTAGCAGAAGTCGAACCATCTTTCATGGCTCTGCAGTGCAAAGCTGCGACACCGTAAGATCCGCTGTCTACGAGCGCGTATCGCAACGGGATGATGGCCAATTAGGGACGCGAGATGGCGTGGCTAGGGCTAGGCCTATGCCAAGCTTCAGCTCTGAAACGTGAATGGCCATGCATTTTAGTCTTCGCCATGCGAAATGGCAGAGCGAGGCGTTTGAGAGGCGTTTGGGACGTGGTAGGCTAAAACCTAGTGCGTTAGAGTGAAGCGCCTCCACCCAGCCCCTGGTCGGTGCGTTGAGGCTCAACTGCCGATGCTGGCTCACCTTACGACTTCCACGTTGTGCTCCGAGCCTCCGACGGCTTTCGACCGCGTTCCCATGTGGATCTGGACACAAGCTTCGATGGCGCACGATAATCTTGCGGCATGGCTGAGAGTGACAGCTGTAAGAGATGGATGCACTGCTGCTCGTACGTCTTGGCTGAAGCTTGCGACTATTCAAGCCCACCTAAGAAGTCTTGATATCAGTTTCTTTTCACAATTTGAAGAAGACGACCCCTAAGCATGCATGTTCAAATATCGACCATCCAACGGTTGTGGCATCATCGACTTCCGCACAAATGTGTACTCGCTCGGTTGTATTCTGCATGTTTGTTTGAACGGTCGCTTGCCCGTGTACCAACTAAATCCGATCTATTCCCGTCCAAACATCTCCGGTCTTAGAACCCAAACACCATGAGATCCACTTCAAGCTTCCATATCAAACAAGAAGCTTTATTGCCAAACATTGACAGACGCGTTTACAATTTCAGGAAACCACCGCTCGCGGAGATGGTCTGACCCGAAACCCATTTCGCGTCGTCGCTACAGAGCCAGGCCACAATTCTTGCGATATCGTCCGCAGTGCCAACTCTTCTCTCGACAGCAGTTTGCTTCAACTGGACATCCACGACCTCTTTTGGTACACTGTCCAACATCTCCGACTCTGTGGGACCCGGCGCCACAGCGTTGACTGTATGCCCTGCAATGCCTAGCTCTTGTGCCAGGCTCCGGGTCACGCCTTCAATCGCTGCTTTGGATGCAGTGTAGAGAGTCAGATTGGCGATACCTAGTCGTGCGCCTATAGACGACATGTTTATGATGCGGCCTGGTGCACGTAGATGGGGCACTACCGCGGCTGTGAGAAGGAGAGATGCGCGGACGTTGACATCGAATATGCTGGAATAGTCTTCTGCTGTTGTTTCCGTGATGGACCTGTCAAACAAAACGCCAGCGTTGTTGACGAGGATATCGATCTTATCACCAAACGCTTCCCTAGTCGCCGACATGATCTTCTCAGGTGCGTCGAGTTGTTTGAGGTCAGCTTGAACGATTTTCGAATCGCTACCATTGCCAAGTAATTTGATCTTCGAGGCAATCTCTTCTGCTAGATTTCCGCTGTTCGGAGATGTGTATACGAGGGTGACCTGTCACATGTGTAAGCGGCTTGATTGACTTGGTCAAAGTCGGTGGACTGACTTTTGCTCCCCTTCGCGCCAGCTCTAACGCCAAGCCAGCCCCAATTCCTCGCGAAGCGCCTGTGACTATAGCAACCTTGCCTTGTAGAGGCAATGCTGATGGTATAGACTGAGTAGACATGATGATAACTGTCTTAAGCGTGTGTTGGTATCTTGTGTGGTGGCATCATATTATTCGCCTTCCATCAGGTTTTATAGCACTCAAAGGCACCCACATATCTAGTGACATGATTAAAAGTAATCGGATATAAGCCGTATGTTCGTATATACGTGTACTTGCTGCATTTTTATCCAAAGTGGGTAGGTCATACGTCATTGGCTTGTAATCCCCGATGGACCTCATGAGTGCCGACAAGCTTCGGAAGAGGTTGTATAACGAATGGCGTGGAACAAGTTATCGAACCAAATGCCAGTGTTATAATGCAGATACATTCCAGTTTTTCGTGTATATAAGAATTTGGTTTGTGATGGGTAAGAATTATGTATTGAATTTTGAAAGTATAGCAAGTCATTCGCTCATAGATATGAAACCCGCGTGCTCCTCGGTGGCCTGTCAACACCATTTGCGACAAGTAGTAACAGGTCTGATCCATCCTTCAACCCTCCCGCAAGATAGATAACGCGCCGTGGTGAATCGAAGGGAGACCATTGCCGATCAGAGTAGTTTCGTCGTAGATTCGATCGAGACTGCGCTTGGCGACAGAACATGAACGTCGCAATTGTTCTCTTGATGGTCGTGTCGTCCTCCATCGGCAGGATCCTGCTCGCTTCAAGCCTGGCCCAGCGTGCCCTCCTCCGCCCTCTTCCACCATTTATCGCTTAATGAAGCCGAGCAACGGGCCCTTCTTGGCATTTGGATCCTTCTTCTTCGGATACATCTTGGATGTAACGAAGTGGACGTACCATATCAGGACACCGAAGACTGAGAGACCGAAGATTACAAGAAAGAGCGTGATGACAGGTCGACCGTCAGCTTGTACGGAGCGCAGGGCGGCGGGCGTAAGGATCGGTGCAAGCCATTCGAAAGCCATATTGAAGTTGTTTGGTTGCGAACGGTCGAATTGGCCGAGGTGACTGGAATAATATTTGTTTTGTCGGAGCGTTTACGAGCTTGCGATGACGATCAGAATCAAGACAGCCGGCTGCCACCAAAAGAATGTGTAAAGATATCGCCTGCGACTTGAAAGAATCGGAATAAGGAAAGAGGACGTGATGTTGGATGACAGCGACAGGGACGGGCAAAATGCGACGGTTAGCGTTCATGTACCCACCACAGAGCCGCTCAGGCGGCAGCGCGACAGCCAAACCAGACTCGTTTCGCGCATGACCTGACCGCTTAGTATCCTTGGCAGATCGCATGATGTTTACAGAAAAGGCCATACGCATGGCGTATAGAGGCATGTTCGATGTGAGGCGACCGCCTGATATGGTGACTGTTTCAAATGCAAGGCGGGCCAAGAGACTATGGTGAGACGCTTTCGTTGCAGAACGTTCCGACGCCCGACTGGGAGCTTACATTACTTGCAAGGAGCACTTCCTCTCGAAGCCACGGGTGTTGTCGGTGTAAGCAGTGACTGACGCCGAGTTGACTGCGCATCCTCGGATACTCTTGCGCTTGCGGACCTCGCTTGACGCTGGATTTCCCCGGACCAACGAACGACCTGGCGTCGAGTCAAACAACCGTCGCTACAATGGACGACCACGTCGCATATAGCCAATGACTAAGGCAGCAGCTTGCTGTCTGCTTCCAACACAACGCTGGTGCATCCCGTTGTTGTACTCTGCGTGGTAAGGTGCATAGGCGAGTTGGTGATGAGGACTAAGTCGGTGGATTGTTGGGTTTCTCACGTAATCATGCCGCTCGCCCGTTTGTGATTGGACGAAGGAAAAACGCTGTTTTCACCGACAGTTCGCACAAATAGGGCGCGTAGTTCCCAGCCATTGCTCGAGCTTACCGCATATCCACCGTTTTTTTTTTCTCGTCGACCAAGAGACACTTCATCAATACTGGTGTGTAAGTGCATGCAGCCATTGCTAATCCTCAGGTACCCGAATAAACGACTCATCACTTCTTCGCTTTTCCTGCCTTGAACCAATCTTTTCGCGCCAAACGTCACACAGAGTCGTACAAGGTTACTCGAGTAACTTGTCTATCACCATACGTCAATATGGCTCCCCTCCCTAAATCCGAAGAGTCCAACTCGCCAACAGAAAGACCTACCTCCCGAGACTCAGCCGAGCGGGGAAAGAAGCGCGCAAGTATGTCGACCGCGGATTTCTTGGTGACGCCATTGCCTTTGCTCACTATCAATCGCCGACAACGCTGACACTACGGTACCGCGCGCAGGAACACAATCAATGCCTCCCCCAGAGCTGCCCAAGCTAGTCGCCGAGCAGCATGCCCCCATCCCGACCAACGACAAAGACACGCAGCGCCTGATCGTCGTTCTGTGCAATGCGACCCTCGAGACCTACAAGGCGTCACATGGCACCGGTCGGGGCCCCGGCGCGCGCGAAGACAAGTACAATCTGCTCAACAGCGACGATCACATTGGCGTAATGCGCAAGATGGGGCGCGATATCAGCGAGGCCCGGCCTGACATCACACATCAAGTGCGTACAAGAGGGGGCTAAGGGCGTTCGTCAGCTAACGTGGCGCTACAGTGTCTGCTCACATTGCTTGACTCGCCAATCAACAAGGCGGGCAAGCTCCAAATCTACATCCACACCTCCAAGAATGTGCTCATAAGGGTCAGCCCTACAGTGCGCATTCCTCGTACCTTCAAGCGATTCGCTGGACTCATGGTCCAACTCCTGCACAGACATCAGATCCGGTCGACGTCATCCCAGGAAAAACTCATCGAAGTCATCAAGAACCCCATTACCGATCACCTTCCCCCCAACTGCCGCAAGGTCACGCTCAGCTTCGACTCCGAGGTCGTACGTGTCAGCGATTACATTGGCGGCCTCAACAAGGGCGAGAGCATTGCAGTCTTCGTAGGTGCCATGGCCAAGGGCAACGACGACTTTGCCGATCACATCAAGGACGACAGCATCGCCATTAGCCAGTTTAACCTCAGTGCCAGCGTTGCATGCAGTAAGTTCTGCCATGCTGCGGAAGACGTTTGGAACATCTTCTAGTTCGGCAGCACGACCAAGGGTTGGACCTATCCATACCGGACACGCCAGCTAGCCCACAAGCAACAACTGACTCACGGCGGACGAGTCGGATCACGGACCGCACATTGATGAAAAATAACCAGGACCTATAGGCTGCAGGACACGTTCATGGCTTAGATCGCAACATCGACAGCCTGTGCGCTACTGCATCTGATTTTGGGCGTCTGCTTGAGGTTTTTTTACAACAAAACAACTACTCTGGCTCAACGCACAACAATCAATCTTCTTTTGAAGATCGCGGGGCAGCTCAACCTACCCCGCACCTCCTGTTTTTCTTTCATCTTATTCTGTCAGCGCAGTACGCTAGTCTGTATGCGCCTTGTGTACGGTGTCATACCACTGGGTCTAATCAGGGCCTGTCGTTCGATTTCGAAACGTGTCTGTCAGTAGCTAGCTTGTAGGATATCGCGGCTCTTCATCCACTCTAGGAACTCTGAGCAGGAGGATCATCAGTGTCAGGAATGACATATCTGGCGAATGAAAAAAGTATACTTCACGTCATCTTCGCAGTACGATCCCTTGAACCCCTCTTTCAAGCATATACCCGGTTATTCGCTCATTTTATACTTCATGAGGTTAGACGCTTCCCTGACGGGACTCATCGCATTCTGCGCATGTGGCGGGAGGGCAACGGGTAGCATCTATACATGGAGCCGCATCGCCGATCTCCCATGATGATCTCGCGTAAACATCGAAAAAAGCAACAGCATGGCAAGTCCTACCGACTTTTTGGTGCGACTCCAAGAATCTACCACGATGCCTGCGATCGTAGCCTCACTGCAGCAACATCTTGGTTCTTGTGCGAACGGTGCCCCAGTGTCGACGTCACGCCATGTCCAATGGCGCGTTACGACGACAAGTGGCGCGTCCAGACCGCAAATACTCTGTTGCACGCGACAAGCGACCAGAATGCTACGAGTCCATATGTACTATAGCGCAGTACGCAATGTGAGGCGTGCGGCGACTTAAACCTCTCGCGGCTCCGGGCCGACGTCGAGGACCAATGTCATACACCGACACCTCGCTTACTTTAACAAATTTGTTAGCTGCAGACGCAGGACATGTGGCAGCATCACAACATCTTGACAGCGACCTCCTTGATAGCTAACTGCAGCAGTGGGGCGTGCTAGTAGGGTGTGTCCCGCAACGGTATGGAACGTCCTGCCACTCGGTTCACGATGCATCGAGACGCTGCACCTGGACGGGGTTTATGATATAAACCTCGAGGCCGTACCGATACTTGCCCTCCCTACTCACACCATACATCTCCAACCGCTCTAACACGTTCAAACCTGATCGTGTGCATATTCATATCTTGTTTCCTTCTTGACTCTCCTCTCGGCGATTGCTTTGTCCGCGTCCTGTCGTTCTTGTTTTTGTTCACCGCTGTTCAGCAATGCCCGTCTCCCACATTGGTCTCACGGTATCGCATCTTCCAACGTCAACGTCATTCTTTCTCTCTGCGCTTCAACCACTGGGCTACCGCTACATTGGCCAATTTGGCAACCAAATTGGTCTCGGAATTCATGATGCCGATTTCTATCTCTGCCAAGAAACGTCTGGGTCAGTACCACAAATGATCACCAGGCACACCGCAACTGACAGCTCAGTAGTGTAAGGGCCGGCGCAGCACACATCGCATTCACCGCACCTAGCACGACTGCGGTCCGGAACTTCTATACCGCTGCACTAACTGCCGGCGGACGTCCCAATGGGTCACCGGGTTCTCGTTGCGCGGAAGACGGTCACTTCAATGCCGCAGTTCTGGACTTTGACGGAAACAGCATCGAGGTCGTCTACCGAAATGGACCAGACATGAGAAACGATGGTACCATTATCGAACACAGCCGGGTCATCACGTGGTCGAGGACAGTTTCGCAGAGCTTCCGGGAAAGCCCGAGTATTTTCAGTGCCCACACGTGTGCTTCGAGAGCTGGCGCAACACCAATGGCACCACCGGCCGAATCAGCTGTTCCGAAGCCACCGACTGTAGCCAGAAGCGCCTCTGCACCCACTGTCGCTCCTGTTCCCGAAACGACGACGAAATCCGACTCCAGCAGTGGGGCGGCCACGCACATCCTCGGAACATTACTTGGAGCTGCTGCAGGTGCAGCCGTCACATATGCATTCATGCGGAGCGAAAAAGATAGTGCGAAGAAAGAGGCGGATTTCAGCGCCTTCATGGACGCCAAAAACGCGGTCAACACTGCGGCTGGCTTCTTCGCTCAGGCCTCATCCCAACCCCCGACACCCCAGCAGGACCCACAACCCGCGCAACCACCTGTCGAGACCGCTGCACCGCCAACTCCTGCTCAGCCAGTAGTACCAGTAGCACGCCGCATTGAAGACGACGCGCAATCATCCTATTCGCGCGCTTCCCAGATCCCTAGGACTTCTGTGCCACGACAAATCGAGGCTGCGCCCGCTAGCTACTACTCACCGTCTCAGTTTGAGGCTCCTCGCACGCAGATCGCAGAGCCACTCGCGATCGAATATGCCCCTGCATACTCTACTGCCCCGTCAAGGGCTCCTTCGAGGCTCACGGCAGCTCACCGCTCCAATACCAGCCCTGAGTTGCTGATGATTGAAAGGGCAAGAAGCACTGTCTCCACTGCAACAACGTCCAAGCCTCCGCGACCATCGTCCAAGCCTCAAAGTGTAGTCTCGAAAGCACATAGCGCAGCTCCTAGTTCTTTCATCTCATCGTTCGTGGCAGATCGTGCTGACGATGATGACAAGAGTAGCTCGGGCAGATCAAAGGCCAGGTCCTCTCACACTTCATCTTCGAAACATAGCTCGCACAAAGAGCACAGTAGTAGCAGTCGCAAGGAGCGTAGCTCCTCGCCTTCTCCACCAGCCCCTGCATCGAAGGCTCCATCAAAGGCCCCCACCAAGGTTGCATCCAAGGCTGCTTCCATTGTTAGCAGCATCCTAGGCCGTGACAAGTCCAAGCACGATGATGACGACGACGACTTCATCGACGACCTTGACATTGAAGAAGTAAGCGAGGACGATCTTGACACTGTCGTTCCCAGCGACAGTATCTCTCAGATCGGCGATGGTCCACGACGCAGGCACCGTTCCCACCGCAGCCATAAGTCTAAGAAGGACGACGACGCTGAGACATCCGTGAGCCATCGCAGCAAGAAGCATAGCGATGACAAAGATTCGTCTCGTAGTAAGAAGCACGACGATGACAAAGAGTCGTCCCGCAGTAAAAAGCATGACGATGACAACGAGTCGTCCATCAGCAAGTCATCAAAACGCTCTCACCGCTCTCACCGCTCGCGGAAGACATCCGCCGACTCCGCCGACGATGAGGACTCATCACGCCCTCACCGGTCCTCGCGGTCCTCCAAGTCCAAACCATCTATCATCTCTGAACCTAGTGAGGTATCAACTGTCCGACCTGTAAAGCCTTCCAAGACATCAAGAAAGGATAGTCTGACCCAAGGCCAGTACGACAATCTTTTTGACGAAGTGCAATATGGAACCGGTGGTGTCCACGCCTCAAGACACCCTCCTACACCCAGCATGGTTAGTGCGGCACGCAAGAATCCCATTCGCAGCATGATCAACCACAACCATGCAACCAGGATGAGGAACTTTGAAGGAAGCCAGGCTGGACGGGCAAGGGATGATAGTGATTAGTTCTCTCTCTTCTCTTTTTTGCATGTTGTACCGTTGCATTACGACGCATGTTTGCTTTTGCTTTCTCGCTCTTGCATCTGCGTAATGCTTTCAGCTATTCGCGTCTTTGTTGCCCTTTTTAGCGGTCTGGCATTTCACGGCGCAGCATTGGTATGGCGTTCTGTCTTGGCTTGTATGATTAACATAGAATGAAACCAAAGGCAACGAAATGAATAGAATGGGTATATGGGTGGAATGGGAAAAAAACTCGTCTTGTCCAATCACTCGTGCCTGTTTGTGCTACTGTATTGTGCCTTCCATTACGTCGCTACCTATCTTCGAGAAAGTATACCCTCGACAGTATACAAGGAACGGGATGTCCGACAAAGGTCACTGCCGTCTGTACGCTTCTTGTCTCGACGTTGAACGGCTTCGACCTGCTCACCTCTGTGCACTCAACCTCTCTTCCTCTCTCTTATAGTTCTACTTTGCTCCTTGCACTCAGTACTTGGCTGTTACGCATCACAAAGATGAGCATCGCATCTCCCATTCATATCAATGGAGTACTATACTACGATACCGCCGGTTTCTCTACATATGTGACGTTCGAAGCTTGTATATGGGTGAACTATTCTGACCGCATGGGTAGTTGACGACGAAGCGTGTGCACATCTTGCTGGTAGTTGGTTCTCAAATTGCTCGGGTTAAGAGAACTCGGTGGTGATCGGTGAATATGAGTGTGAATGTGTTGGATAACTTAGATCAGATGATATCGGTGGTAAGGAGGTGACAGGAGAGTGTGGAGAAAGTGCGAGAAGATGCAGAGTCCCTTTTTACTTGGAAGAATGTAGATATACGATCTGACGAACATATGATTGAGTGATGAGGTATCTGCATAGTCGGTCCAAATATTCGACGCATATGTTGAATGAGACGTTGATAGTTACACATTGGACATAACACCACTTCCACGCTTCAAACACTGACAGGACCTCCTTCCCTGACCTTGCTTTTAACCCTTCGCCAGCTCACTTCGCGCGGAAAAAGTGCTTCAGGCGGTCCCTGCTCTGGATCGCATTCCCAGCATTCGCCACCTCTCTCTCGGTAGACTTGAGTAAGGAAAACGCACTCCGGATGGCGTGTGCAGTTGCGCCTAACCCAGAACTCGTGTTGACATGTGCTGTGCTTGAGGATAACTTTTGTACACATCTTGTTCCCGTGCTAATGGAGGACGTGGAAGGCGTCAATTCGCTCTACTCTGTGGAGGACGATGGGCCTGGGTTGTGATATCGCGACTCCGAACTGGCATCTTGTAGCATGAAGGAGTGTCTCCGGCACTCTGCAAGCTGGCGGGAAGTCTTGATGAGCTTCAACGTAGGTCGAGTAGGGCTCGGGAGCGGCGACGTAGATCGACGTGTTCTTCAATCCGATGACTTTGACACTCTGGGCAGGAGATGACGGGTGAAGCAAGCACCCGATTCGACTGGTACAGCTGTGGATGTCGGATTGTCAGCGACGGACAGTGAGCAAACAAACGGCCGTATGGTGCAACACGCCAAGAGAAGGAGCGACAATCACTTACGGCCTCGAGGTCCGTAGTTGTAATGACTCTGAAAAGCTACCAATATTACCCAAACAGGAAGTCCACGATAGACGTCATACTAGCGATGGGCCAGCGACGATCAGGGTCCGTCAACGACCCTGAACTCTCATACTCTCACATACTTATACACCGCCAAAGTCTGCAGTCACCCCGCTTTACTAAGCCCATGCGTCCAAGCAATGTCGTGGTGAACCCCAATCAAGTTTTACCCTAGGAGCTCAGCATGCGATCGCCGATTCACCTCCTTCGGGCACTGTGTCCCACCCGTATCCCCATATTATCCTCACGAGAGATAAAAAACAACAGACTAGGCTTGATACGACTCTGGGTACGGTTGAAGAAGGTGTAGCGTGTCGCATCGGTGATGAGTTGGGTGGCCCAATGGTTCTACAGAAAGGTGTTGATAAAATGTCATCGCCGATTGCCAGCCTCGTCCTCGGCCTTCTCGGAAGGTCGTGCACTGACACGGTCCGAAGAGCGTAGAAACGAGGTTGTGTTGAAAGCTTCGTGTCCATCAATGGTGTAAATGTAGACTGTTAGAGCAACGCAATCTTGGTGTGCGCTGAACGATTCCGGGTATCTTATTAAACAGTACATACTATCATGACCGAACTCCTCCAGTTGGACAATTGCACAGCCTGGGCTTAGTAAAAGGCATCCGGATTGTTATCATGGCTTCGGTTTCCATAGCCGTGGTCGACATCATCCAGACTCCTGTACTGTCCACCACCACCACCACCACGACCGCGTCCCCGACCACCACCACCACCGCCGCCACGGTCACCCCGGTTACCGCCGCGGGCACCTCCTCTTTGACCGTACGAAGGGTTCCTGTTATTACCACGGCCGCGATCTCGGTTGCCACCACGGTAACCACCTGGTCGGTCGTCTCTGTCCCTGCCTCCTCGGCCGTGATTTTGCCGGTTGTCGTGGCGGCCGTTTTGGTCTTCTCTGCGATGAGCTTTGTTGGGGAAGTAGCTCTCATACTCGCTTTCATTCGGTGTCTCTTCCTCAATGCGCAACATTTGCTTTTCGCCTACAACGCTGTCAAACTCGAATGCCTGATCCTGGGGTACGGGATGCCAGTTGACGATTCGTGCAGCATCTGCTGGCCGACCATTTTTACGAATAGCCAGGACTACCGTGGGCACGGGGTTCTCTGAATAGAACTTGGTCCCTTTAGGCACAGCTTCAACTCTCGCAGCCCAGAGTTTGTTCTCGAAGCAGGAGATGGCGGTCACCTTCCACCTGACCCTTGCTCCAATACCGCCGACCTTGTCAAGTATGCTCTTCGGACACGGTTTCGGTGTGATGAGTATGCTGTTGGCGAGATATCGGATGTCGTCTCTCAGTGCGCCCTGGGGCAAGGAGACGAGAGATGTCAACTTCTCGGTTACGTCAGAAGGAATCATGTAGCCGGTGTAGAAGACAGTCTTCTTGATCTGATAGGGCGGAGTGCCGGGCGGGGCGTTGCCTGACTTGACCTGTATGTTGTGTGCGTTGATTAGCTTCTGGATTTCGGCGATTTCGGCGACGGGGTCGAGTTGTGTGGCATTCTCCGGGACCTGAATGACTTCGGTCGTGATGGGCCGGCGCGACGCCTGGTTCTGCGCTCTCAGCAAGTCTTCGTTGAACTGGAAGAAGAAGTCGCGGAAGCCCTTGGTATGCTTGACGCGATCCTCGTATATATTCAGCTTCTCTGCATCCTTGTATGTGTAAACAATGTCCTTGAGCAACTCTTGCTTGAATTCCATGGTGTTTCTGAACTTCTGACCTGCAGGGCCTATCGCGGGCTTCAGGCAGACCATGTCGAAGTCTAATCGCTTGCTGCGAACCATGCGCTTGACGAGGTCAGCGAAGTCGGATTCTCCTCTTCCAGTGAGAAGCACGCTCAGCGCGTCCTTCTGGGCCATGGAGGATTCGACGAGTTCGACAATCTGTTCATTCCACCAGCCTTGCCATGCGCGCGCTTCTTCCTTGTCGATGCCTTCGCCCGTTGCCGCGAGAATGCTCGAGTCGTGCCACCAGCCTCCGTTGAGGAACATGTCGGGTGATCCCAGCTGGCCTATGGTCGCGCTGTTCCATAGCTGCTTGTTCGGCAGAGGACTTGCGAAGACTGCAAGATATCAGCTCTAGTTGCGATGGAGAGTCGCCATGTACATACGCGTATTGTCGAAGTCGTAGATGTGGATTGCCTTGACGTCAGATACAGAAGGTAGCTCTTTTTCGTCACACGACCACCTCTTTAGCGCGGTTACAGTGTGGTATGTTGCCTTTCCATTTGGCCCGGCGACAGCAGGCCGGGTTGAAGTTGCTAGCATAGCTGGTAATGAGCGTCGGATAGAGGGCAAAGTGACGTGTCTGATAGCGGAGATGAGCATTCAACGCGAGGAATGTGCTGCAGGGTGAAACAAGAGATGCGCGACGAATTGCACGCCCTTGGACACGTGCTGCGAGCGGGAAGGTGAATGTCGAGCGAACAGGCTGCGTTGGAGGAGGGAAGTCGCGATCACTTTTGGTTGGCCCGAGCTCACTCCCGACGGGATGAGCTCATCATCAGGGCCATATCCTCGTCTCCTCAGCCCGACAGCACGACAAGGAAGCGCATGCCAGCAAGCACGGCTGGCTCGACTCAAGGCGACTCGGAGGACACTTGTGTGATATGTCTCTCTCCAGTAACAGAGAGGGCCATCGCCTCTCCATGCAACCATTACACATTTGACTTTGTGTGTCTAGTGTCCTGGTTGCAGCAACGGTCGACCTGCCCGCTATGTAAGGCACCCCCTTCTCATACAATACATTCTTACTGACGATAAACGCAGGCAAAGCACAAGTTGCAGCTGTACAGTACGACTGGCGCTCTCCCACCGACTACAAAAGCTACACTGTTCAACGTACCCACCCACCTGCAAATGCCTCTCATAGCCGCACCGATCGACCTGGCTCTCTTTTTGCACCTTACGGACTGCCGAGCAGACCACGCGGCCCACGTCGCCCATATTCGCCGCCGATTGAAGATGTTGCGTTGCGCAGACGCAGGGACGTGTACCGAAGGAAACTGTATTCGATGCATGTCGGCAGTAATCGCTTTTCAGGATACAGTGACATTTCTCCCCGTTTGATCGCAAACTCGCCTGAACTGCAGTCGAAAGCACGTGCTTGGATTCGGCGCGAACTCCGCGTTTTTACCTACCTGCACACCGAGTCTGAGGCTTCATCCTCCGATGCAGTTACAACAAGTAGCAACGCTGAATTCTTGCTGTCGTACATTGTCTCTATCCTGAAAATGGTAGATCTGAGGGCAAGTAGCGGACACGCGGAGAATCTTTTGGCGGAATATCTTGGCAGAGAGAACAGCAAGCTTTTCCTTCATGAGCTGAACAACTGGCTAAGAAGCCCATTTACCAAGGTTGAGGTATGGGACCGAGAAGTTCAGTATCAAGAAGATTTGGAACAAGATTAGAGCCCTTTGCCATATGTAGTAGGGGCTTAGTCACCCCCTGCAGCATAGACACGCATGAGACATATTACTCGGAAGCCAGCCTTATTCAGCACTCGCTATATCGCCAACTGAACCGCCACACGGAGTCACTCTGCAGATGCATGTGACTATTTCAGGGTGTTCGCACTGCAGTTCGCAGGTTCGCATGATGCCGTTCGAGACGTTGCATCTTGTGGCTAGGCCAACTAAGGCTTAGCACACCAGCACGTTAATGTTTCGTGTCAGTTTCGCGTACCGCACAATTGTCCACTCTGCATCTCCACCACATCTCACATGCCATGCGTAACAAAGCATGGCTTCTTCATACCAAATCCCGATGATAGGACTTCTAATGGTTCAGCCGACAGCATATCCGCGTTATGGCTTTAAGAGTTTGATCCGGAACGCAATAACTTGTGCTTTCGACAGACTATGGACACAGACATTGTTTCGACTTCTTCGCCTACTTTGCTTGGTTGGGTCTTGATGTTTCGATAATGCAGCAACGCTGCTGCACCCTGGATTAACCTTCCTTAGCATCGCCCCGCCACAGCGGATGCACGATGTGCTTCATATGTGGGTAGGTAGACACAGCTGCAATACTCTACCTTCTTTCCTTCTCTTGTCAGTTCGCTGCGGAAGGATTCTTCTTCACGCTTTCATTTCTTGTTTCTAGTTTGAGTACACTATTGGCGCTGGATCGCTCTTTTTTAATAATTAATTCTATTCACGGCAAAACTGTGAATCCTGCTGTAAAGCCCGGAGCTTGCATACCTGCGCCTCACGACCACCCCTTGAGAATCAAAATGCGTTCGTCCGTCGTACTATTCGGCGCTTTTTGCGGCCTCTCAACAGCAAATCCGCACCCATGGATGTACGGTGTTCCTGACTATCCTGACCTTGATATGAACGAGGTCATGACGCAAGCAGATGTAGACCTGATGATGGCAGCAGCAGTTGAGAACAGTACTACCGCCTCGGGCTCAGAAGGTGCTCTGAACTCGTCGACCCCCTCATCGGCTTCTCCTGGACAAGAACCTTGTGCGGTTGTCAGTATGGCCATAGCAGCTCTACCCTCTGGAGCCCGACCTGTCGTTCCTGCAGAGTTGGGAGTAAAATGTCTGCAGTCTGTGCCTCTTGACAAGGAAGGAAATGTCAAGTTGATCGACGATCTCAAGGTCATGGTCAAATGGCAATCGAATGTTGCTTACCTCAAAAACCCACCGAAAGAATACACCGAAGAGCCCGTCGACATCATAGGCGAGCTGGACACGATGCAAAAACAAGTCGCTGCCGGTAACTTCAAGACCGAGTACGACTTCCAGCTGAAGATGCTGAACCTCTTTACCAAAGCTTACGACAACCACTTTGCTTATCAACCCGATATTCTTGCTTCGGCAATGCAATTCCAAAGACCCACCGGATCGGAATTGGTCTCTATTTCTTCGGATGGCATGGCACTTCCAGAGATATATACGTACAGAGATGTTGTGAAAGCCAATAACGATTCTTCCTTCAAGCCGTCGCCCGTCAAGATGATTAACGGCATGAGCGCTCAGAGCTATCTGGCGAACGTGTCTGCTGATTCTGATTTCCACGATGCAGACACACGATGGAATGCGCTTTTCCCTTCTCAGGCTCTTCTTGCATCCGGTACTACCTTTCTTGGAAGTTTCAGAACTGGGCAATATCAGGGTCCGAATACAACCATGGAGTTTGCCAATGGAACTACCTGGTCGAGTATGAACGTCGCTGTCGTTTTTGGAAATTTCACTGGTGTTGATAGCGGTAAGGCCTTTTTTCAAAGGTTCTGTACAGGGCCGAAGCCTGTTTCTGCTGCTCCTGCTCCCTCACCTACTAGCAACTCTACAAGGACTGTGACTCCCACAGCTACGCCGAGTCCCTCGCATATTGGTTATCCAAAGGCTGAGCTGATCAACTCAAATCTCGCGGTTGGAGGCTACTATCTCAATGGCGCAGGATACGAGGTAAGTTGGACGCATCACATCTCTTATCTGTCTGACCGCTTTAGGATGTTGCCGTTCTGAGTATCCCGTCCTACGAATCTCCTAATGTTCAGAGCTTCCAAAACACGATGCGAGACTTCATAAGGATGTCGCAAAAAGCGGGTAAAACGAAGATGGTCTTTGATTTACGAGGCAATGGTGGAGGCAATGCGATTCTCGGCTACGATACTTTCAAGCAAGTATACCCACAGGCAGCCGCAGAGCCCTTTGGCGGCACACGCTTCCGCGCAAACGATGCTCTAAACGCTGCTGGTAAAATCACCGAAAGCTTTCTCGCCAACAAGACGTACGCACAATCTAACCAAACCGCTTTTGTGGAAGCGTTTGGTCGCGGTGCTACACAAGACGATGTCTTTGGATTCACAGCCGGATTCAACTACCAGCACATTCTCGATGTCAATAATAAAGCTGCAACTGGATGGAACCAACTCTTTGGTCCACAGCAAGCAAACAACGATTCTTTTACCACAACCCTTCGGTACAACTTCTCGGACAGTATTAGTACAACATATAATGGCTTCTCTGTAATCGGCTACAACGACAACGCCAATGAAACCAGCACACCACAACCTTTCCAAGCACAAGATATGGTCATGCTACACGACGGCATGTGTTCTTCAACATGCGCCATTGTCTCCGAACTACTCAAGAACCAAGGCGCAGTCCGTACAATCGCCATTGGCGGACGCCCTCAAACTGGTCCGATGCAAGGTGTAGGCGGCACCAAGGGCGCTCAGGTCTTCTCCTGGGACGATATTCAAATCCGCATGCAAGCCGTCTACTTCCTCGGCTCACCCGATGAACAAAAAGCCTGGATGAACATGGATCTTGGTAGGACTGCTTTCGCCACACAACTCTTCAAGCGATCTGCGTACCAAGGCGGACGTATCGCCGGCGGCGTCAATCTCAAAGACAATCTGAGACAGAACGATGCTAGTGCCACTCCCCTGGAGTTCATGTACGAAGCTGCGGATTGCAGAATGTGGTTCACCGGTAAGATGATTACCGATGTTACCGAGGTGTGGAAGGGCGTTGCTGATCGCATGTTCCGTGGAAACGGCACGATGGGTTGTGTTCAGGGCAGTACAATGGATCCCTCTAGTGTTAGTGGTGGAGGCCAGTTAAGGGGTGGGGATGGAAAGGTGACGATGAAGAGCGAGAGCACAATTGCTGTTGCGGGACAAAGTGCGAGTGGAAACGGCAGTGCGCCGCAACAGTTTACTGGTGGTGCGTTCAAGACAACGGTGGGCAGTCTAGGTTGGGGCGTTGTGGCTGGCGCCATAGGCCTGTTCATGGCCTTGTAAGTGCAAGTAGCAGCTCATCCTTATATGATCTAGGGCTTTCGCTCTTCACAATCTCGTCTTCGATGTTGGAATGTTTGTTGAGAATATATACGTTTTGAAAATCAATGCACCTAAGTATGTACATAAAGAACTGGACTTTCAAAGAGGTGCCAGTGCCTCACACATCGAGACTGCTGACTGTCTCTCGCCCCGAAGCTATCGTCGTTGTCGTGAACAGCTTACCGTTGGTTATGTCAATACATTCAACATTTACCAAGCGTTAGCAGACCACTGGTTCACAGTGACTAGATATAGGTATACGAAGTCAGTCTATATTTCACATGCATTTCGTACAGGGACACTTACACGTTGCAGGTCCACCGGTGAAAGCCTCAGTACCGAATTGGTAAGCTGTCAAAGCGTTAGCATATGCAACTATAGTCATCTCGAAAGGGATGCGGGGAGCAGCTTACTGATGAGGTTTTGGCTCGACGCGGGAAAGCCTTTGTTGTTCTGGAGGTAGGTGAAGA